TCATTTTTTAAATAAATTATTGGTATGGTTATACATTTGATAGTTTTTGTCAAAAAAATACGAGTACAATGCTAATTTTAATGTATAAATCTTATTAATAATTATCAATATGATGTACACCTCTTTTGCATAATAAATAAAAATATATGTTAATTTAACAAAAAAAAAATAAAATAAAAAATCCAGCGCTAAAAGAAAAGGGGCAAAAGATGCGATGAAAAAAAATAATAAAAAACTTCAAGTCTTCAAACTTAAAAGGATCTGTTTCGTTATAACTCGGAAAAAGAAACGAGCCGCATGTGACCCGCGTTTTTCCTTAAGTCCTTAGAGTTTGAATTGCAATTATTTGCTCCCACAAAAGAATTGATAAAAAAGAATTAAGCCTCATCTTGAATTATAATTCTAATTCCGGAACTCCTATTTTTGTCAGCCAAACACAAGAATTGGAAATGAAGGCCTCTAATTCTAATTCTTGGGTCAAATTCAATCCAACCAAACAGAACCTTAGTTTATTACATTTGTGGTATCTACTAGGGAAAAAGGATATTACTATTAGGGAGAGACTTCACGTACTAGGAATCCTCAAATCAGACAAGGAAGGATCGATTCAAAAGGGAAAATTAATTTGGTCATGATAATTGAGGCAGTAACATTTATTCTGCACGTCCACCAATCGAAGATTCCCTCATTCGTTGTATTGAGAACTAGTTCCAAACAATTATCTCAAGTTCGGACTAAGATGATGGAATAGAATTAGTGAAAGATACAGACAAAATAGAGGCCATTGTGCAAAGAACACTAGCTGGCCAAAACAACAATTGATATGTACGCGTGATTAAATTAGTGTCAGGACTTAGGAGATTAGGCGGCCGTATGTATGTAATCATTCGGAAAGGCGTGCTTCCTTAATAGGAAACCAGCTGCTCAATTTGGACTTTTCTTCATAATTCCTCAGGGTCAACCCCGGTCCTCACAATTCACAAATTAATAACTTTGCCCAAATTATCCACCAAAAGAAGAATTTACGTACTAGCAATTGCTTGTGACATGAATTCTATCCAACCTCTCTTTTTTACTTATTCCTCGTGGTTGGATTCTATCCTTTTACGCTTTAGCACTCTTATTGGATTGTGATCAAATTAGGATCTGTTGAAAACGACCTTTATTTTTTTTGGTGGAGTCAAAACATCCTTACTGTCTAATTTCACATCAACTCAATCGTGTCCGAGATATCAACGTGTTGTGACCAAATCAAAGACTACTGCAATTAGTGATTAAAAAAAAATACGACTGAAATCTTCATGGTTCGAAACATAACTATTGTTATTATTCCAGCATGTATGGATGTAATTGAGCGGCTGGATCACAGGCCATATTTTTGTCCGGTCAAGTGGGAAAAAAAAAAAAAAACTTTTAAGAAGCAGAGTAGAGGAACTGGGGCCATATAAGCGTGCAAGGCAAACATGCCGTTGAAATTGAAGCAACCGCAAAGGGGAAATCACTGTGGCCGGGGGAAGTTGGCTGATGTGGAACCGCCTATCCAATCTCAAGTTTCCACATACGTAACGACAGCTTAGATGATGCCACTGTGGGTGTAGGTACACGTGATCATCATGCCACGTGTCCCAGCCCTTTCCCCAGCAGCAAGTCACATGTCGACGCCGGTCCGCATCAAACTCACCTACGTTTGATTGATAATCTTCATCATTAAAAAGTTCATAATTTGGGCAGTGTGGGAGGCGGAAGGAAAAAAAGAAAGAAATAAGAAGAAAAATATATTTGTACCAAAAAAAAAAAAGGGAAGAAAAATAAATACAGTGGTCAGTGGGTTTGCTAGTTGAACGGGCGTTACTTGGAAGAAAGACTTATTGAGACTCAACACGTGGAGAAGCCACGATGATGACCCCACATCAGTTCGGGTTAGCGATAAACGCGGTGGTTAGTCCAATTCGGCTGAATATTGAAAAAAACGGGGGAAAAGAAAAAAAATCAATGGAGAGTAGTATATTATAGTCTCAGTCGGTCAACTTCGCCGTTGGTTTGAAAGTATGTATTGGCCAATTGGAGTCGAATTTGGGGGCTTTCCGACTAATTTTGACTTATCCAAAACCAACGTTAACTACGACGTCATCTTACTAGAAAGGATTTAAACCTTCCTAATACTCCCTCCGGTCCTTAATATAAAGTATTTTGATTTGTTCTAGGTTTAATATAATATACATTTTTAATTCACGAAAAAACCTTAAAAATATTTCATAACAATCAAGAAGGAGTATAGTTTTAAGATTTTTGTGTAACTTAAAAATATGTACTAGGTGAAACCTAAAAAAACTCAGAATGACTTATAACATGAGGGAGTATTTTTTATTTTTTTTTTTCTTTTTCCTTTTCCAAACAACATGGTGGCCACTGTAACAGCATTTCTTTTATACGAGTAGTTACAAATAGTGTAAGAATCTCCAGTTGTAAATGACCCGTCCTAAACCAGATAAGTGAGTTATTGGATCATCAATTTGCAAATTTTGGACAACTTATGGAAGTAGAACTCGCTCACAAATTGGAGTATATCCCGTCAAAGAATCTCCAGTTGTAAACATTAATCTAACACTGTATTTGTGCCCATAATCCTAGCCCCAGAAAATGAATGACGAACTCATCAAAATTTGCGCAACGGATAACATTTTCTATACATTATATGTCAAACAATTTTGATTGGTTTTTCATTGGGAGGGATCACGCAGTTACCATGCGTTTTTCTGTATCAAGCCGTGTAATTGGCCGTGTTTTTTGCATTCTTACCATTGGTTTGACTATTTGCCGCTAAATTATTACTAGATGCTTGCTCTGGGCAAATGCCCGAGGGCGTCTTCGCACCTAATAAATTAATGTGTAAATAATTAAAACTGATTAAAATGGAATAAATACCCGAGGGCGTCCTCCCACCTAATACATTAATATGTAAATAATCAAAACTGATTAGGAATGAATTTAATTTTTAATGAAGATAATTGATTTGTCGAAAATTAATTTTTTCAAAAATCCTAAATAAGTGGAGAAGGAAAGTTCCATTTACTGTCAAATTCAAAATTTGAATGAACATGGACATCTGATCTCTTTGTTAATATTGTAAATATATTTTTTGTTTTTAAAAGAGGGTGACACGTGGCAGAATGATTTACGCAATATGGTGCATTTGGAGCCAAAATCTTTTAATAAAAAATTGTCACATCAGCACATGTTTCCTGCTTTAATAGGGTAAAAGGGATTAATAAATAATTAATGCCGTGGTTTTAAGTTATTATTACCACTGGATTTGGTTTTGATTCACTGTTCAGACATTCCAGTTATAGTTATGATTTATGAAACAGAGGAAATTAAGGACTACATACGTTACGAGTGGTGGAATCATAAGCGAAAGTTTGGACTTTAAAGTTCAGAATTAGAAGCATTTGGCAATGTCCTTTCGGCCGTAATGACGCCATAAAAGACGGGTTTTACATCTCCCAATCCCAGGAAAGTAAACATTCTCAATCTAACTCCTAAGGTCAACTATTTTAGGAAAGCAAGTTACAGTAGAGTAGACTCCACTAAACCATGCATATTGCATACAAATGTATTCACGCGAAAGTATTATTACTTTTTTAGTCCGAAAATAATTATGTAATTTAGATTTTTATTTATAGTAAAATTTATATTAAAAAAATCAAAATTAAATAATCAATTTTTTTATGGGAGAAAAATGTTTATTTAAGAAATTTATACTTTTTTGTTAAATTATTTTTATACAACCAACAACTCTTATATTTTCAAAAATAAGTAAAGGTAACTTTTATTTTAATTTTCATTGGCATCTTTGTACCACTGAAATTTTGAGAATAGAACCCTTGATGCTAAAAGGAGTCAGTGATTTTTTCTTTTTTTTAATAGAAGATGGGCTGCCGTCTATTTCCTGGAAACATGGAGAGAGTATTTGTTAGTTGGGGGAAATTGTGATCAACATTTAAATTATCCGCACGCAAAACGTCATTTAGAGAATAAATAAATAGAACAATCAAGATTTGATTGTTTATGATTTTTCTGTATCGTTTTCTGGCGGAAAGGAAAAAGTACCCAACTCATCAGCAAAAGTGTGAATGAAGTTGAACACGCTTAACCTTAACCACAGCGTGTTGTAACATGTAAGATTTTCTTTTTGAGTATTATTACGCTCACGATTAACTGGGGGACGCAAAAAAGGGTCTTCTTTTTTACTTTTTAGTCGCCAGCTCAAAGTTGTAAACTGACAGATTTCAACAAAACCAACAAATTAACCTTTCGTCGTAAATTAGACATCAGTTTTTGAAATCCTCCGTCAAATTTAATAATGTTTTACGTTGGACAAAGTTAAGTGTGGAAGTTTACCAGAAACGACGTACCATTATTGACTCTTTCAATTAAAATTAAATGGAGTACTGTATGTACATGGTAAAAAAAAAAAAAAACTTTTAGTCTTAAATTCCGTTTTTGTACTCAAAATGCTTTGATCATAACAAAATGCAATGCAATTTGTTAGTCTTAAATTCAAAAATTTGAAACTCAAAATATTGATGGAAAAGAATCAAAATATACTCATTAAAATCCTGTTAATTTTTAAAAGAACAAAAACGAATTTTGATATATAAAAAAAGGTAGTTGATTAGTGTGAACAGAGGTTGGCCGGGTTGGCCGGGTTGTATAGTAGAAAGAATACATGATTCTAGAAATTGGATGGAAATTAACTGGAAAGCAAAGGAGGCATCCCATGAGAGCCTCCAGCATGAGAATGAGAGACCAAGACCAAGTTCAACTTCGAACGAGGGGCACTTCGGTCAACCGACCATATTTGGTCCTACACCTACTGTGTGTTAGGTATATCCACATTCGGATAAGCTTCACGTTCCTTTTCCTTAATTTTCTACTCGTACTAGTATTTCTTTCTCCCCCTAAATAACTTTTCAAATACGTTCCAAAAATCGAAAATACTAGGAACAACTCAAATTATGGTATCCTATGTACAATTACCATTAATTAATTATGATTTAATTAATTAACAAATTATCCAGACCGCCGCGCCTTTGAATTTCTTCATTTATGGGCTTTCCACATTCTTAATTCCACACGCCTTTCCCCTGTTCCTGTCTCTCCCCCCTTTCTCCATTTCCTCTTCTTATAAATACCATTCTCTCATTTCATTTCCAATTCAAAACAGCTTCCCTAAAGTTGTTGATTAATTCAAAATTTATACTCCCAATTTTCAAATTTCAAAGTTTTTCATTTCGTTTAGTTTTTATGAGAAAATGGTTGATTTAGATTGGAAGACAAAGATGATCTCCTCCGATATCCCTAGCAAATCACCCAAGCTTTCAAACAAGCTTCAAATATCGATACCCAATAGTACTCCCCCGGCCGTTCGTGTTGCCGACCTTTCGCCGGCTTCTGAGTCGGCTTGCTCGGCGTACGAGCACTATCTCCGGCTTCCTGAGTTGAGAAAGCTCTGGAGTTCACGGGACTTTCCCAGCTGGAAAAACGAGCCGGTACTGAAACCCGCTTTGCAAGGTTTGGAGATTACGTTCCGGTTCATTTCGGCCGTTCTTTCCGACCCAAGACCGTATGCCAACCGGAGAGAATGGAAACGGAGACTTGAGTCTCTTGCCACCAGTCAAGTCGAGATTATTGCTATGTTGTGCGAGGAAGGCGAAGAAGACGCCGAGACGCGTGGAACGGCGCCGATCGTTGACCTAAGTTCAAGCTCCGGCGTTCTGACGCGGGAACACAGCTCCGCGGAGGTGTGGAAGATGACCGGAGATACGACGGTGGTGAGTCAAGTCAGCGAGGCTAGCTTGTTGCCTAGGCTTGCCGCGTGGCAGAAGTCGGAAGACGTCGCCGAGAGAATTCTATATTCAATTGAATGTGAGATGCGGCGGTGTCAATACACATTAGGCCTTGGGGAACCAAATCTCGCCGGAAAGCCGAGCTTGGACTACGATAAGCTCTGCAATCCGGTTGAGCTTCATGCCTTAAAGAAAAGCCCATCAGATCAAATGAATCTCCATAATTCTGAAAACCAGACGCTCTACGCCATCCATCAGATCCTGGAGTCATGGATCTTCACGTCCGGGCAACTGTTGAAAAGAATCGCGGATCAAATCGAGCGAAAAGCATTCGAAAATGCGTCCTCCAATTGCTGGCTACTGGAGAAGATTTGGAAGCTTTTGAGCGAAATAGAAGATCTTCATCTACTGATGGACCCGAATGATTTTCTCCGTTTGAAGAACCAGCTGTCGATCAAAGCAACGTCGGAGAGCGATTTGTTCTGTTTCCGGTCGAGGGGGCTAATTGAAATTACGAAACTCTCTAAGGATCTGAGGCATAAAGTGCCATCCATTTTGGATGTAGAAGTGGACCCCAAGGGTGGACCAAGGATACAAGAGGCGGCAATGGAGTTGTACAAGAAGAGGAGCGGCGGTGGTTACGACCGGATTCACCTGCTTCAGGCGTTGCAGGCGGTGGAGACGGCGGTGAAGAAGTTCTATTATTCGTACAAGCAGTTGTTAGTGGTGGTTATGGGCAGTGTTGAGGCTCGGGGGAGCAGGGCCTTCGTTGGTGTTGACTCTGGGGATGCATTGGCCCAAATCTTTCTTGAGCCCACCTATTTTCCAAGCTTGGATGCGGCCAAGACTTTCTTGGGGGATTATTGGAGCCATGAAACCCGGAGTTATAGCCCTGAGAGACGGACCAAGTGATTGTTTATAATTGGAAACTAAAGATTATTTGTTCATTGATTGATTGTAATTTTGTACTATTTGATGATTAATGTAACATAACGATACCCATTCTTGTAGCTAAGACCTCAAATGTGAAATTTTGATACCTGTTGTTAAGGATTAATTACGGTAATTATAAACAAAATAACAAATGGCTCAATGTTTCGAACGATGTTAGAAAATAAAAGTCAAGAAGCTATTCAACATAAGCATAGGTTTTCTCCTTGCAGAAACTATTTGTGCACTGGTCAGGAGAAAGAAACAACAAAGCTATTTAAGGTCTCAACTCCATGCCTTAAGGCAATGTGGGCTTTAACGAATATACCAACAGGAGGAAACTTTGGGCGGAAACCCAAATACAAATTTTGTAAAAGAAAATGGAAAAGAGAAAAGAAAAGAAAGGAGATAAACGTCAGTCACATTGGTATTTTTCTCATGATCGGTTGCGCCATTATACCATTTTAAAATGTCATTCAGTCCAGAATTGGTTTCTTTTGCTTCCTTAAACTGCTGCAGTATCAAATTCTTAGTAAGGTTTTTTTACATAAGCACCATTATTTAGAATTAGTTTTCTTTTAAGTATTAAGAATAAAACATTCTTTGTTTAAAATACTTTCTTTTCTTTTTTTGACATGGCGATGTTACTCTATTCTTAGCTAAGTTGTTTGGATCAATTTGAGAGCTCTGTCTGAATTCAACGAGTAAGATGTGCTAGTAACATGATCGTACTTGTGAACGTTTGACTGATTAGTGTATGTTAATCATCAAAAGATGTGCAATTTGATATTTAGCCGTTAATCTACATGGGCAGATCTTCATAACATCAAAAGTTGCAATCTTTTTGATAAAATGATGAGGGATCACCGGCTATTAGTGTAGTGCTGTCTCCTCTAATGATGCACCTTATCCTTTGGTGAAATGATGGCGCCCTTTAGAAAATGAAAGGCAAAAATGCACTACATTTTCACACACACCTGCAGCAATTCTCAAAAACGACTTCTTCTTCTTCTTCTTCCTTTCAGGCTGGTTTTTATCGAGATTGCAAAATTTTTATTTTAATAATTATATTTCAGACAAGCCCAATGGGCCTAGTTGCCTTCGAGCCCATACTATTTCCACTTAACGTTGCAACAAACACGTGTTGACTAGTCAGCTTCCCTCGGTCCCCGGGACAAGCCTACAGACTCGCAACTGTGCAACCAACCGCGCCTTCTCATTTCCATCGAAATTTGTTTTCCCGGAATTTTATCCTTCACTATTATTATTATTCATTCATCACTTCCCTCTTACTGTGAGAGTCCCCCATTTTTCTTACTTCTTAACGAACTTCAAAATATTTGATTTCCCCCATTCTCTTTATTGATTTGGGATTTTCTTTGCCCCTTTTTTGCAACCAATTTCATCTCCCCTTTTGTTTGCTCATGATCATCTTCTATTTATATCTCACAGATATACACACCATAAGCGTCATTGTCTTGCAGAAGATTGACTTATCTTACTTTTCCAATTAGGCTTATCCAGCCGTGAAATCTGATTGATAATTATTCCTCAATTGGTTTCTTCTTCTGGGGTTATACGTGGTGGAGCAAAAGGGATTTCTATATTTGTTCGGATTTCTCTCAATTTGAATCCACTCGGTGGGACTTTTCTGGAAAATTGGTAAAAAAATCTCATCTTTGGCTTTTGTTTTTTTTATTTGTTTCCCTCCCCTTTTGGTATGTTTTTACGCATGCATGTTAATTGAATTGAGGTATCATGAAGTCCGGTTGACAATGGGGCGCGTAAATTACGAGTTTAGATGCCATGATTATTATTATTTATGATTCAAGAGCAACTTTATTTAATGTTCAAGAAATTAATACTAGGATTAGAGACGTACAGTTGTTTTCTTTTTTAAAAAAATGATTCATTTGTCGATCTTTTTCCCTTTTGGTGGAGCAACCATTTGGGCTTACACGCGGTCGGTGGTGAAGACGGGAAATCTTAGAGAAAGGGGAAGCATACACGTGTATTCATCTCTGACAAAATGTAGACTAATTTCATTTAATTTTTGTGTTGCCTTTTCATCTGTTTTCGTCACAGGTTGGATCGTGTTCAGACCAACCATGTCAGCAGTGCAGTTAAAGTTCTAGACTCTACCGCGCATTCCCTGCATTTCTTCCCATTTCGGATAGAGATTCAATGACTTTTGCTGGCTTGAATATCTTGGAGATTTGACAAAAAAAAGGCACTTTCTTCACAGGATTTTTGTTTCCTAACTTTGACTATTACTCGGCATATTGCCTTATACTATTGCTACTTATTCAGTAAATTGCACCCCTGTTCCTGGTGAGCCTTTTTGCTGGAGAATTTGAGCTTCTCTCCAAATATTATTGCATGATGAGGCTCCATATTGTTCCATCAAATGTTGATTGCCCAAACCAAGTGTTCGCTCTGGTCAGTAATTCCCTTTGTGCTTCATATTCTTCAATCAAAGAGAGAAAAGGAACCAAGTATGGCAGTCCCTTTGAATCGAGAAAGTTGTTCAAGTCACTGATTTTGTTGGATAAATGTTATTCAAGAGTCAATAAATTAAGGACAGTTAGCAGGGCAAGCATGGATGAAGGATTTTCACAGTATCATGCTGAAGGGGGATCAGCACAAAGCTGGGGTTTATCAGGTGATGAAGATTATGCTCATGGTTATTCAATTAACACTGGTGGTTGTGCTGCAAGTGAAACAAAACCCTCTTCCAGGAAAGATGGAGTCCCCATGTTTTCTAGAAATTCCTTGTGGCAATCCCAGGTTGACTTATTGGAGCCTAAAATGCTTGGGATTACGCCAGAGCCGCCCGATTGGCCGGAGAGGAAGTCAGTTATGTGGGCAAATTTGGAACAAAAAGCCAAGAGATTTGATCTTCCTTTCTCACTTAAGATGATTCAGAAAAGGCACCAAAGAGAAGGAAGTCTAAAAGGGATGGGAGATTTGGCTTGTTCCTCAGTGACAAAGGCTTTTTCATCCATGGTATCCATCATAGTTGAGCTTCAGAGCTGTGCATTGCATATGAGGGAAGCACTTTGCGATGAAGATTTAAAGCTCATCATCTCTAGAGTGCAGAGCGACATGCATTTGTCTTTCGCCTGGTTGTTTCAGCAAGTCTTTTCTCGAACACCAGCGTTGATGGTCCATGTGATGATTCTATTGGCAAACTTTAGTGTGTATTCAACGTCACATAACTTCGCAGCTGCACAGGCTTCTCTGTATGAAGCTGCAGAAGGGATAGAATCACTTCAACATTCTCATCTTGATAACTTGTTAATGGAGAAATTAACTTCCACAGAAGAAGCCAGTGAAGCAGATAGTGAAATTGACGACTTACGTCATTTAGGAATGTCTTCAGGTGGAGACCCTAAAGAGGTTTTGCAGGTTGGCAATCCAATGTTCAGAAATGCGGCTGAGGTTTCTTTGTGGAATTCTTTTCTGGATGAAGCGAAAAGAATGCAAGCTGAATCAGATGAGCTGGTTCTGGATCACGATGTGCTGCGAAGATTTGTTTCTCCGATTTCTGTGGAGCTAGAACCTGATAAAAAATACATGGAGTTTCTTAGGACTGATCTTATGTACCAGATGGGATTGTCTCAGGAACCCGATAATCCGCTTCTGCTCAGCAATTATGCACAATTTCTGCATTTGGTTGCCCATGACTACAACAGGTGATTTCATTAGAAAATCTGGTTGATAGACATTATTTGTTTCCATTTCTTAGATGCTTGTTAGTTACCTAACATCTGAATGGTTAAACGTCATGTGAAAGTCTTTGCTATGATTATATTATCTGTCGCTGATTGCCACTTAGTCTACTGTTGCTTTCAAACTACTAGTTCAATGTTTTCTTTGAAAAAACTATAAACAAATATGATGGTGCAGATATCAACTTTTATAATGAGAATTGAAGATGATAACTATGGCTATGAAGCTTATGAGTTCATATTCTCAGACTGTAACTTGCTTTAGCTTGTTGAATGATCTTTACGCTTGTGGAATTTCATTATCTTGGTCGCTGAAATAAACCAAAGGGATTATAACATCATGGTTGTTTAGATTAATCGATTAAGCTGTTTCCTGCTTTGTTTGTCATTTCCTTCAACATAATGGAACACTGTGGACGTTCTAAAGGCGGCATAATTCACATGAAGTTTTTTAGCCCAAAGAGGCCCCTGTATTTTACCTCAACAATGTAGACTATCTTTTTTCTGCTGAGACATTATGCTAGCAGACTCCTTGCTTTGCACTTTGTGACACTTAGGCAATTCCTTTTCTCTTATTGTGTGATTTAACAGGGCAGAAGAGTGTTACAAGCGGGCGATTCAGGTGGAGCCACGAGATGCCGAACCCCTCATCCGGTATGCTGACTTCTTGTGGACAGTTAGAAAGGATTTGTGGAGAGCAGAAGATACTTACCTGCAAGCCCTATCGATTGAGCCAGAGAGCTCTTATTATGCATTTAAGTACGCCAGTTTTTTGTGGAATTCGGGTGCTGAGGAAACGTGTTTTCCTCTAGACACTCCTGACATCAACATCAGTAATTCAAATCTGTAAAGTATAGAATAAAATTTCCAGGATATATGCATGAACCTCACCTCCGAAGAGGGCATGGGGTAGCAGAATGGTTGCTTTCAGTAACATGTGAAGTTTCCTTCGCGGTGCAGCTTTTTGCACTTGATCCAACATTTTCCGATGTTTTTTAGTGGAGAGGCTGAAGATCTGAGGGTATAAAAGTAGAAAACCCCGAGATGTGTGCTAGGAAGTTGAGCCGAGTAGGTCGGGCGTCGGGGGAATTACTTCTTGTATTGAACTGGAGCTATGGAATAGATTTATAGTGTAGAGGTAGTAGATAAGTAACTTTTCCCTGAATAAATGTGTATCATCTTGTTCCATGAGTTAATCTGCATGTAGCAAGGCCCTGACATTGTAGATGGGAAATTTCACATCATATCAAGTTAATGAATGATACTTGGTATTCAGGCAATCATATCAATTCTTCCATATACTCAGTTTTACAGTGTTCAACGGGAATTAATTTCACTTCTGATTTTCAACCAATTCAATAATTTCATCACATACCTACTCGTATAACATAGGCATCATAAGCAACTAACATTGATGGCTTTGTTTGAAATCATAGTTTAAGAGTTTACGATACAAGCTGTCCTCCACAAAAATACAAGAGAAGCTTTGTTGAGGTCGAACAGAAACAACCTCTGCTTCTTTCAGAATGAGATGTAAACCTAATCCCTAAAAGAATGTAGCTATACCATAAATGGATATGAGATGCTCCACAGCTCTTCCACACTAATCGATTACATGGATATGTGATACTCGTGTTGCAAAATTGGATTGAAAACAACAGTGGAAATAGTTTAATAGTTTAAGAAAGGAGGGGGAGTGGAGGAAGAAAAGTTTACAGAAGAACCTTGGAAGTAAAGAACATAAACTACATTAGTGGAAATTGTTGCGACTGGTAAACTCGCAATTAAATTACCAAGACCAACTGCTTTTGCTATCAACAACCTTCACTGAAGTCGAAACCAAGGGCATGTGACCATATTCCGCTACAAATCTATTTACACATTCAGTCCTCCGGTCACTGTGACCTCCCAAGCTACTGATACCAGTAGAACCAATTTCATATATCTTGCCTAGTTTAGCACAAAACAAAAAGGATGTCACAAAGGAATCTTTAATCGGAAATATACAAATTAGATGCCCCAAAAGTAGTGCACCAAAAAGATTGCAATACCAAGGAATGCGTGCAAATCAATTAAGTATACTTTCCTCCAATGTTCAAGGAAGCAAGCGAGAGATATCTATCAAGAGACTTTCCTCCAGTCAATTACATAAGTTCTTAACAAATTTCTCACAAAGTCAATGGCCTTATGAATATTATTACTATCATATATCAGGATGGCTAATCACAGTCAAACACTACGTACTGACTTGAACATACATAAACCTTGTTTCTTGCACCATGTGTTATTATCACTCTGTCAGTAACTTCAAAACTGATCATTGTATAAAACTCGCGTTAATTATAGGAAAAATCCGAAAGCTAAAACATTAGAACACCCATAGAAGCAGATTAAAATCCTCACACCTAGGGACTTCAAGGTTTTCACTTTCAAACATACTTAAACATTACAATTCCAAAAGCTAAAACATTAGCACATGAGCAGATTAAATCCTCACGCCTAGGAATTTGATCAGACTTCAAGGTTTTCACTTTCAAACATACTTAAACATTAATATTTCTAAGGTTTACAACTAGAATGTTAATATCAGAAGGAACAATGAAAGGTTATGCAGCTGATTTATGAGGTGATTATCGGAACAAAGTTCATAAGAAACTATAACACACCTTTCACCCATATTGGGGGAATACCGGTAGCATTTGCAACCAAAAAAGACATTGCAATATCTTCACAGTTCCTGGTCATTCCAAAGGATCTCATCAACTTCAGATATAAATAAGAGGAGAGCAATAAAAGAAGGAAACAAGCATCTAATGAAGGCAGAAGCCAAAAAAAAAAAATATATCAGAGTTTGGGTAGTAACCTATTCTTAGACACATATTCTCGAATTGAGGCTGGCATTTGGTGAGTATATAGACTAAGATACTTCTGGTGGAAAAAGGCTGCTTTAGAGAGAACCATACTATATGTGCCCATCCACCAAACAGACCACCAACCACCATAAGTGTATTCATTAGCATTGCCTTTCTGCAGAAGAATTTCATATTTGCATAAATCATAAGGATTTGGCGCAAATCTCCAAATTACAAGAAGCCATCAAATGCAATTAAAGTGGAACCAATCAGCCGCAGAAATAACAATGGGAGATAGATAATAAGTTAACTGAAATAAGATCCTGTTATAAGAAAGAAGGTGGCTTCAAATAGAAGACATTGAAAGGAATCTTGTTTGTTTTAAATCTAGAGTAGACAAATTATCTAAGCATGATAGCCATGTACCAGACAAAAAGAATGGATCGCCATTCTTGGATTGCTTCCGTAAAGAGAAAATTAAATAAAGATTCAACAGAAAAAACAAATAACTGGGGAGGAAAATGCACAAATACAAAAAACAAAGCCGCAGTTTTCCTATCTAGTTAGTGAATGAAGTGCACCAATAACTTCAGACTGTGCTTACAAATTATTAGGATTCCACATGCAACAAGATCAACAACTAAGTTTCATGATTCATATCAGCATTCTTAAAATGCTTAATCTATGTCGGACAAAAGAAACCAAATCCATTTAAGTTAACATCATCAAAGTACAAGGCTAAGGACTAATGGAGCAGGCAGGTCTCATGGCACTGCATTTTTCCTCTAGACATATTCAAATTGACGCTCTTAACATACTCATTAACCACTACAATAACCTTTGGGCATGACGAATTCTGCATGCATGAAGCTACACAAGTTCTCCATCGATAAACACAAGTATTTCTTGCATAAATGAAATCCATATAGTGTTGAATCATTTTAAGGTAAAGAAATAATTAAACAAGAGTTAAGGGCTTACCGATTTACTAACCCAATGCATACGTGGTACAAATCCCACCATTGTGTCAGATGCACTTTGCCAAATGGTAAAAGCCAATTCTACAGTTGAGCATGGGAATATAACATCATCATCAATTGAAAACAGAGCATCTGTCTTTAAATCATTGATCTCCTTGAATCTATTGTTCAAACTGTCTTCCTTGTTAATGTCGAATTTCAATTCAATTTCTCGTCCATTTTTAGAGTTGGACTTTATGACATGGGTTAGATACTTAATTAGAGAATCAGATGGAGGATCAGGCTCACTCCATACGATGTGTATGGAACTAAGCCTAGGGCATGAGGTATAATGGGAGATGGACTTTTTAAGGAGATCATTTCTCTTCCACGTGTTAATTAGCATTGCATATCCTGCCCTGCAAACAACATGAAGCATATTTTCAGAATCAACCTCATGAAAGCGTAACGGTTGGAGAGTCTACGTCTTTATTTATCTTGGGATGGCATTGCAACTTTCTAGATACTGAAGTAAAAGAAAAAAAAAAAAAAGGACACCACAATCCAAAGATTGATTAACACTAAGTATAAATAACAGAAAACATAAATTCCAAAAATGTCAATTTGACAGACGATTTGGTCTCAAATGCGCAGTCAGTTGGGGTGAATTGAGTTCTTCAAAGAATTCAGTTTAAATTTTAATTCTTCACTAAAATGAATAGCAAGAGGCATTTTCCAGAATTTTAGTTCTACAACCTCTTTTATTAAATGTCAACTGGCATTCCCAAAGATCTCATACCTATAATCCAATGAATAATATGTTTTCTGATTTCTCTAACTACAAGATAGAAACACTGCCTATAATGAATCTGCAGAGTATACAGCAGAATCCTCAATCATCTAATCCTTCCTCATGAATCAATCTTGAAAATGAGCTAACTAGCAATCATATATACAAATCAAGTGTTAACAGTTCAATCTCAGAAAGCAAAGAGTATCCACATCAGTTATCACTCAAGATGTAGAAAAAGATGCTAAAAATCCTGAACTGGAAGTAAAATTTCCTTGACTGAACAAGAATACACCGACAATTGAGTAAATGTCAAAGTCGGTTCAACAATTAATGCAACGAGCAAACAATAGTAGCCATAATTACCAAAAGATTCGTGAATTATGTAGCATTTAAGACTATATTATAGTACTGAGTAGCGTAGGAAACCTTGAAGGAAAACTGTGATGGAGATCATACGGCGTCTGGCTCTGCTTCCATCCCATAAACGACGGCGCGCGGCTGGAGAAAGCGAGTATAACAAAGACGATACAGCAAGAGAGCAACAGCTTAATCCTAACAGATCTAACCGCCGAGATCGCACCCTGCCTGAAAGTCCGACGGCTGAATAAGCTCGTTCGTGGAAGTATGCTCGTCATGACGACGCCTTCACCACTCAATACTAATATTGTGTGAAATTTGGTTCGCTCCGGCCAAACTTAGGAAGCGACTCGCCGCCGATCCGAGCCCCAAAGGACGACGAACTCATGAGCGAGTCGACTCAGTCCATCTCGTTCAAAATTTTATCTATTATTATTATCTCTGGCTCTATGTCTCCTTTAATTAATTTCCAAAAAAGAAGAGGTTGATTTGGCGCCGGCAGCAACGGAGGAGAAAGCTCTATTTCAGGCACAATGATTGAACGGTGGTGATTCCGAGGGTGGCGTCATTCTAATACTCCCTGTTTAAAGCTCCGTCGTAATTATGAATAAATATCCTGGAGAGGGGGAACAGAAATTGGAGAGAGACACGAAACGACAACGCATTGAATGAAACTATCGGACAGAAACTGGAATAAAAGGGGAAATGGAATTATAGGGACGATTTTTTTATTATTATTATTTTACTATATTCGAGTGTAGTAATGATAATTACATGCCGGTTGAGATTTGTTAGGATGAGAGAACGCGTGGAAGCAGATGGTTGGTTTTACGGTCAGGAAGTTATTTACTGTTATCGCATTGTTCTTTCCTCATTTGGAATTTTTAACACATAATCATTGATTGAAGCGTTTATGACTTTTCATATCCTTCCGGCAAAACCAAAAAGAAAAACAAAAAAAAAAAGAAAAAATTTGGTGCATACAAAAAGGAAATAAAATATAAATCCATTACCTATTGTAAGTTTGTTAGTGTGACAACAATCCGCGCAAGTGCAACCATTATAGTACTATATATGTGCTTTGGTAGTATTAGGTTGTTTTGAGGCATGTTCATAGTATGTTTTTTCCCTTCCAAAAAATTAGGACATATTCGAAATAAATGTGTCTACTTTAATAGAGGAACTAAATTACAACTTCCCTAGGTATCACTCTAGAGCAAAAAACAGCTATGGAAACATCATTCTCTGCCCAAGAAATTTGGAAGGCTTTTAAACAAATGTCATCCTGGATATCACCAGGTCCAGATGGTATGCCGGCTGGATTCTACAAAACATATAAGCATATCATAGGCTCGGATTTGGAGACCTCCATTTTGGAAGCAGCAGAAAGTCAATAATTCCCTCATGAGTGGAACCAGACTAATATTGTTCTCATCCCTAAGCTGCCTAATCCAGTCACTTCCGGGGACTTTAGACCAATAAGTCTCTGGAATGTGAAGTATAAGATCCTCTCGAAGATGATTGCCAACAGACTTAAGCAGGTAATGCCGGAGCTCATTGATGAACACCGGAATGGATTTGTTCCAGGATGAAATATCAGTGAAAACATTTTATTTGCACATGGAGTCATAGAATACATCAGGAAAAAAGAGGGTGATGTCGGTGTTGCAGCAGTCAAATTAGATATGAGCAAGGCATATGATAGGGTATCATCGCCTTTTCTTAAAGCGGTACTAGTCAAGGTTGGCATCCCACAAAGACTTATAAATCTAATCATGCACTGTGTCACCACGGTTACCTACTCCATCTAGTTCAATGGTGAACGTTTGCCTTATTTTGCTCCCAACAGAGGTCTCAGACAGGGTTGTCCTTTGTCCCCTTACCTATTCATTTTATGCCAACAAGCACTTTCCTCGGTAATTAGGACAGAGCTACAAGTGTTTCCAGGGCTAGGCAACAAAATCAGCAAGTAGGCGCCACGGATTAGTCATCTCATGTATGCTGATGATAGCTTATTCTTTCTCGAGTGCAGGGACACATCTATACAGGCACTGTCTGGATTACTGGAGGATTATGCTTCCTACTCAGGTCAAAAGATCAACCATCACAAATCCTCCATTTTAGTGAGTCAGAATACATCATCTTCAATGAAAACTCTGGTGCACAATACCTTGCATATCCCTGAAGGTAATTTTCAGAGAAAATATCTTGGTTTGTCTCTAGATTTCAAACGGAAAAAAAAGATATCTTTAGAGAATTCACCGCTAGGCTCCAAAGGAAGTTTGCAGACTGGAAGACAAAGCTTTTTAGCTTTGCTGGGAGGGTTACATTGCCAAAGGCTACTTTATCAGCTATGTTGGTATATCCAATGGGAGTTTTTAAACTTCCAGCCTCCACATTAAAGAAAGCTGATGGAATCATTGCTCGTTTTATATGGAAAGGTGATGATCAGGAGCAAGGCATTCATTGAAAATCTTGGAAGAAAATGGCTAAATCACAGTTTCATGGGGGTTTAGGCCTCAAAGCCACTGTCGAATTTAATCAAGCTCTCTTGGCTAAACATGCTTGGAAAATTTTGGCACAACCATCTTCCCTTTTATCCAGAATATACAGAGCGAAATACTGCACCATGGAAAATTTTCCACAGCAGACTCCACCCATCAATGCCACTTGGGGATATAAAAGTGTTCTCTGGTGAGCAAAACTCCTTCACAACAACATAAAATGGAAGGTTATAAGTGGTAGAGATATCCCGATTGCCAGTAACTGGATTCCTGGAGTCACTAATCCTATACAATGCAATTCTTTTTTAGCTCAACATTCTAATCTGATGGTTAGTGATCTTCTCCGACCAAATGGACAATGAAAAATGTCTCTCCTTTAGTCCTTTTTCCCAGACCAGTATATTCCCTATGTAACTGGAATATATGTAGATCCTGCAACGAATATGCAACCAGATGTAATTTTGTGGCAAAAGACAGATCATGGTTCCTATACGGTCCAATCAGGGTATCATGAAACTTTAAATCGAGATTCTCTCACCTTCCCTACTCCAGCAACCCAATAGATCCCCTCACAAATTGAAAGCTTGGCTTGGAAGAAGTTGTGGAATGCTAAAGTGCAAGCCAAACACAATTCCTTTTTTGGAGGGCGGCACTCAATGCCTTACCATCCAAACAAGAACTTGTGAGAAGGGGAATACAGGTTGATACTTCCTGTCCAAGGTGCTTTACAGGATTGGAGGACAATCTTCATCTCTTTTTCAAATGTCCAATTTCTCAAGCAGTCTGGAGCTTTGTATACCCTAATTTCCAATCAATTTTAAATGGCTCCATAACCTCCATCCTGGATTGGTTTACCTCATGGATTCAAACTCAACCATCTTCAGAAGACATTGACCTCTTCCTCTTAATCTTCTGGCGTATCTGGTTAGACAGAAATGATAAAGTGTGGAGAAGTCAGACCAACGATTCGGTCACTTCATGGAGATTAATACAACATGACCTTAAGCAGCACAAGGCTTTGCTGTCTAGACTGAGATCACAAACGGCTTCGACTTCACCTAACCTTCCTCCTAGAAGACCTATTAATCCATTGGCAGAACTTACTTTTGATGCATCCTTCAATCCCCATAACAAAAAGGCAGCAGGAGCCCGGTGAATTCTCTCTTCAACCGGGATGTTGATGCAGATCAAGACAGTTTCCATAACATCACTGTCACCTCTCCAAGCAGAAGCTACTACCTGCTTACGGGCATTACAAGATGCCATCTCTCGGCATTCAAAAGCTCCACATCTACACGGATTGTGAACTCTTGACCACCGATCAGGAAATTTTTAAATTTCCGAGTGAAGCTCAGGAGATAATCGCCAACATACGTACCCTGATGTCTACTTTTCGGCTTTGCTCACTGATAAAGGTAAACCGGACGGTAGTTCAGGATCTACACAATTTAGCTTATGCAAAAATGCGATGTACTAGTTTAGATAATCCTTAATTAATACAGGTACCAATTAAAAAAAAATTACAACTTCCCTCATAAACCTGCATTTTTATTCCAAAGTCGAACATAGATATAGACGAACCTCCAATTGTGAATTCAACCCCTCTCCCTTTCTCAATTGTGTCTCCTTCATGATATAAGAAAAATGACCCTTCGATTGTATTTTCTCTTTTGATGGTCTTCATTTATGAGATGGGAAATGCATAACCCCCTTTGGACTTTGTTCGACAAATTAGAACGAAAGAATAAGACTTTAGGCTTTTGATCCAATTGTAGCCATTGAAAAGTCATCTGGCCGAAGGTATATTACGCCATGTTGATAAACTAATTAAGCACTTAAACTTATTAATTAAGTACTTAATTGATTAACACTGTTTGATAATATAATATCATAACAACTTAATTGATTAAGAACTTAAATTTTAAGTGCGTTTGATAACTCAAAGTAGGATGTCTTAATAAATTAAGTGGGTCTGAAATGCTAGTACAAATGTGAGCATAAAAATAAGTGATAGGCCTATAAGTAAATAAGTGATAGGCCTATCACTTATGTCTGAACTGAATTCTTGAGACGATTTTTTTCTATTTATTTATTTTTATGTTTATACTTTCGATATTTTATCTTGAAATTTTTATTAATCATGATGTCTAGTTCTAAATTAAAATTTATTTAAATTATTTTTTATTTAATAAATATTTATTTTTATATAAAAATTAAAATCCATTAAATTCCATGATCAATATATATTTACCATAAAATATGAATTTTTTTTGACAATGATAAAATATGACATTATTATTAACTGAAAAAACAATAGCATAATAAAATTTAATATTTTTATTATATTATTTAATAATATTATTATTATCTTTATTACCATAGTTTCATATACATCAATTATTTTTTTAGATAAAATTATAAGTCGAGATATTTTAAATTTCAGTGTTCAGACTTAAGATTTTAAACTTTTTATTCAATGTTTAGATTTTGGTTTTTATCAAACACGACAAACTTAATCAGTTCAGTACTTATGATTCAATCTTTAGATTTCAGATTTCAGACTCAAATTAAATTTTATCAAACGGCCGTAAATCTTAAATCTCCTTTTAACAAAATACATACGAGATTCATGATCACGCTGGTAGTCAATATGTAGACAAAACTTTTGGAACATCATACAAACCTACTTTTGGATTTTTCCCCTTTTCTGTTGAAATTTAGCTGGACTAGCACGTCTGCACGTGTCTGAGAGTCTCTGGTTCATTTTGTTAGTGTTCTCAATCTTACTTGGGTTTGCAACTCCAAGGCAACTATAGAGTGGGCTCCTGGCTGCCAACGGATTAAGGTAGTAATAATGCCCATACTTTTGGGCTTGGTATGCCAGTATGCCTTTCAAAACTGTTCCTCCAAAAAGGCGAGATTATATTACACTTTACTAAACAATAATCAATAACCAAAGTAGTTATAGTGAAGTGGAAGGGGCTCCTTCACCCTTAATCATAGATCGAGATTCGAAACTCATTATGAATATGAAGCAATCTTAAATACGGTAGATACTCTACTCAAAAACAAAAAAAACAATAGTCAAACGAGGTGTATTAGTCACTCTAGTTGACAGTAAACACTCTACACAAAAAACAAAAAAAATAGTCAATAGTAGAGGCAACGGGTAAAAATTGATTAAAGCTATGCTTATAAAACTATGATTACGCTGACACTATCATTTTTTGGTTGTGAAACTACGACTATGTTGTATTCTAATCAGGATTTCAATTTTCAGTATCTATAGCCCAGTTCATGTTTAAAAAAAATCACAAGAACTTTCACTTTAGGGGAGGCATGCTGCAAATGCACAAGCACAACCCAAGTTCTTCGCATGAATTTCGGATGCCCCGATTATGCTCACAGTCACATGGATTCTTGAAGGATCTTCCTGGCATTGCACCTTTGCACCACATCTTCCATGCATATTTGCTCCCTCTCTTTAGTTTTGCGATTTTTTCTTCCTCCTTCGCTCCATTGTACTAATTGTACATTGATCTCAGGAATGAATGGCTGTATAAAAATTAACAGAAATGTGATACGGGAGGAGTAGTGTCTTCCTGTAGAAAAAATCATCGGTATCAGTGCACTAATTTAATTATTTTCAAAGAAAAATGATTATTTTCTTTTTCCCCTTATTTTCTTAAAATTGAATAACACTATATCAAAACGAGGTACTATTAGTAAAGCAACTTTGTATCAGATTGCATTATCCTGATCCTTACCGCAATCTAACAAATTTTTCATGTTTGTTTTTCCCTTCACATTCTTCGCGGTTTTAAGATATCTCTATATTGCGAACAACAAAGAGCAAATTAAAAGCATTGCTCCAACCCCAGTGTCCTTTACTAGCATTCATTAGTGAGGGGTGGTGAGTGGAGACAATTTGTTTGTACACAGTGTGCACGCGTCGGTGACAAAATTTCAAACCGGCCACTGTCATCCTAATTAGTCAACTAACTCTGCTTGGAAAACTTCAAATCAACCACTGTATATGTAGTCTGTACTCTCTACTGCTTGGCTTGTTTTGTTTTTCGCACTGAGTAGATTCATTGTTTCAGTAATTTGGCCTATTTCGGGTCATCTTACCTATCTGTCATCTCCAAGAAAGTCTAACTAAATCATGGAGCACGATTTAAAGGTTGTTGATATATGGGAATGTACAAGAAGCTAGAAGGTCACATGAGCTCAACATAAGTAACAAGTTAAACAGACTGAATTTCGAAATATGCTGAAGATTAAAGGATATCAATCTCATTATTGGTCAACTATGTTATGCTATCAATTAATTTTTCTTTAATTTTATCGACGTTATAATATAACTCTACTTTTTTCCCTTTGTGTTCGCATTATATCGTGATATTGGCATTCTCGTAATAAAACGATGATCTTGCCATTTAAATCTCATGAACATATGTTGTACCCAAACAATATGTTACAACCCACTTCCTGGATTCCAAACTTTGTGTATATTATTTAGTCAAGAAACTAATAGATCGCCGAAAAAAAAAGAGGGAAAAAAAAAACACCTAAGCAATGCACTATTAGGAGAGCGATAGTAACAGCCGGTTGCATGATGGTTCAGTATCATCGCCGAATTACATGCATCATAGTTGTTCCATCCACTCGTGAACAACCTCAATGGGATAAGCACTAGTGCTATTTGTTTCCTACCTCAAATAAATATTTTTCCATTTCTATCAAAAGGGGGCGGTGGTCGACTTGTATTTTCTATAAGTAAGCCAATCATTTTTCAAGGGGAAAAAAAGGTAGCCAATCATCATTACCATTGAGGGTTCAACCTTATTCCTAAAATGAAAAAAATAGTGGGACGTTTGGCCAATACACGGCCCTGGTCACGCCAGGTGTAATGGACCAACAAATTCAGAATAAACTAGGCCGACCAACCAATTACGTCCTCTCATCATATATCAATTGAGTACAAATAATGAAAAAAAAATTAAGCCAACCCATCTAAAAGAAATCATTGAAAAAACAAAAGTATATTAAAATTTGAATTATGCATGGTCGGTTGCATGATAATAGTTAGAAATTAGTCCACTGGTGTTGTATAAATACTCTTTCCCTTCTTCAGTCTTGACACACATCAAGTTCAATAATATTTTCTCTTCTGCAAATCTTTTCGCAATTACTGATCTATTAATCTGATAGTCTTTCAATTTACCGAAGTAGTGCGTAGAGAAAGATAAGTGAGCAAATGGAACACAAAGAAGAAGATGTAAGATTGGGAGCCAACAAATTCTCAGAGAGGCAACCAATTGGCACTGCCGCACAGTCACAGGACAAAGATTACCAAGAGCCACCACCGGCGGCACTAATTGACCCGGAAGAGCTCGGGTCATGGTCATTCTACCGTGCCGGAATAGCCGAGTTCATGGCCACTTTCCTCTTCCTGTACATCACCATTTTGACCGTCATGGGCGTTGTCAAGTCCGACACCAAGTGCTCCACTGTTGGCATTCAAGGCATTGCCTGGGCATTCGGTGGCATGATCTTTGCCCTTGTTTACTGCACTGCCGGCATTTCAGGTACTGTTTTTAATGTTTTGCTCTCATTTACATTTCTTACATTCGTCCCAAACACATAATTCACACTGTAGTTTGTAAATTACACAGTACACGAATTTCAAAATGGACTATTTTTTTCGGGACAGAGGAGTAGTATGTATGCGATCAATTTTAATATATTATCATCAATCCACTTTTATTTGGATGTAGGTGGACATATTAACCCGGCGGTGACTTTTGGGCTGTTCCTGGCGAGGAAATTATCGTTGACCAGGGCGTTGTTCTACATGGTGATGCAGTGCCTCGGGGCCATATGCGGTGCCGGAGTGGTCAAAGCCTTCGGAAAACATCTGTACCAAAGCAAAGGAGGCGGTGCAAACGTTGTGGCTCCGGGATATACCAAAGGGAGCGGCCTTGGTGCTGAAATCGTGGGCACATTTGTGCTTGTTTACACCGTCTTTTCTGCTACTGATGCCAAGCGTAGCGCCAGAGACTCCCACGTCCCTGTATGTTAATCATATATATCAGCCTTTTCCAATTGATATACTCTGTTTTTTCACTCTGTTTCTTCGATCCGCGTCTAATGAATGTAATTTGTTCTGGGATTAATTAATGGTCAGATTTTGGCACCGTTGCCAATCGGGTTCGCGGTGTTTTTGGTGCATTTAGCAACTATTCCAGTCACCGGTACCGGCATTAACCCGGCTAGGAGTCTCGGTGCTGCCATCATCTACAACGACAAGGCTGCATGGAACGACCATGTGAGTTTTTGGATTCGTTTTATAATAATTAGCAGTCCGATTTTACAACTCTTGTTTTCTCTTTGTTTTTGGTCGTATGAATTTCATTGATTTTGGTGTTAATTTTGGTGGTGATGCAGTGGATATTCTGGGTCGGACCATTCGTTGGAGCCGCACTTGCTGCTCTGTACCACCAGGTTGTGATCAGGGCAATCCCATTCAAATCTAAGTAAAGCACTTTTTAGGTGGTTTGCATGTTTGTACAATCGCAATTTATTATAAGTGGATGTCGTTTTCCTTTGAAGTGTGATGTCGTTTTCAGTTTTATTTGAAGAATGTATAGTCGGAAGCAGAAGTCTTTGTCAAGTGGGGAAAAACGGTTGTTTTAAGTAGTCACGGTTATAAGCATGTTCTGGAGGACTGTGTCTTTTATTCAAATCCAGACAAAGCCTTGCTAATATGCTAGTGGTGCCCAACCCAATGTCTTTTATTCAAATCCAGACCTTGCTAATATGCTAGTGGTGCCCAACCCAAAGTCGGTTAAGGCGTTTGTATTTGTATGTATTCTTGCGATTTGAGAATAATAGTTTTTGTTTTCCTCCAAAAAAGAAAATAAAAGATCCAATGTTAATGCTCTCTTCTTATTCAACTTCTTCTCTCTGTTTTTTTTTTTCAAGTTAGGTAACGTTGTCACTTAACGGGGGAATTTCAGTTATTAGACCATACAAATGTGTCTGCTGCAATAGATAAACTAAATTTCAACTTCCTTCATAAACCTGCATTTGTATCCCTGAAGTCAAACACGGATGTAGACGAACCTCCATTTGTGAATTCTCTCTCTCTCTCTCCCAAATGTCTCCATGATATAAGAAAAATTTAGACCCTCCAATTGTATTGTCTCTTTCTATGGTCTTTTTTATGAGATGGGAAATGCATAACCCCCTTTGGACTTTGTTCGACAAATTAGAACGAAAGAATAAGACTTTAGGCTTTTGATCCAATTGTAGCCATTGAAAAGTCATCTGGCCGAAGGTATATTACGTGGTGTTTGATAAACTAATTAAGCACTTAAACTTTTTAATTAAGTATTGTTTGATAACACAATATCATAACAACTTAATTGATTAAGAACTTAATTTATTAAGAATTTAAATTTTAAGTGCGTTTGATAACTCAAAGTAAGATGTTTTAATAAATTAAGTGGGTCTGAAATGTTAGTACAAATGTTAATAGGGCATTGATTGTTGGTCGTAGTATGTCATTATATCATTCCCATTTCTGAATTTTTGTACAGTTGTATTTGCTCCATTACTGGTCAAAATTTCACCACATAACCTGCCATGGTACTTCTACAATTCTGACACAACCACGATGAGGTTATTCTTCAAATCCTTTGTGTGTAGAATGTTTGTTTTTGTCAGAGTAATTGCCGACTCATTTTGATTCACAATCCTGTGTGGAAACACAGGAATACACGTACAGGATCGATGCAATAACCCTATCTGGAAACATTGTTGATTAATTTCATAAACCTATGCTACAGAAGCCAGCATCATATATACATCTTGACCCGCCAACATCTCAACTTCCGGCAAACCGTTTCCTCAGGGCAACGACTTCGTGATCTTCAAGTCGTTTAAAAAGTGGTACAGGGGTGCCAATTCTGTGACCTGCAGGCAAAATCTCCCATGGTCTTGCGGCCCTTTTAATATCACCGTCAGAAAGTGAAAACGATTTCTCAGGGGGCAGATTGAGCTGCTTTCGTATCTCCGCAGAGACAGATGGCATGAAAGGCTCTAGAAGAGAGGCCAAGAGATATACCAGTCCAGCAGAAGTTTTCATAACTGTAGAGCATGCAGCTCGATCCTCCTTATAAAATTTCCAAAACTTGGTATCCTGAAGATATCCATTGCCCAAGGTTGAAATGGACATGGCTATCTTCAAACCTTGTTTAAGCTTAACCTTTTCCATGACATCTTTATATTCAACCACCGATTTACCAACTTTTCCCGCCAAAGCCCGAGTCAGAGGATGTAATTCAGCATTCTCGGCATCAGGGATCACGGAACCATACCCTGGATCTTTCACGATGTAGCTCAAGACACGATTAACAAAATTTTCCCAGTTTTTCAGTAGCTCGTTGTTTAATTTGGCTTGCAGATCCTCCCAGTTAAACACCGTGTCTGATACCTCTGGCCTATTTATGAGCAAGTAATAGCGCCAGACTTCAACCGGAATGTTTGTGTCCTTCGCATCGGTTCCGAAAACGCCTACCCCTTGGCTTTTTGACACGGATCGCATTGATCTCCTCGGGCAGAACCATAATTACATTCCGGCGCCGGACAGATTCCTTCCACATAACGGTCGGCTAAGAACCTTTGGCATTCTTGACAATAAGGCTGCTGCACCACATCCTCTGAAAGCCAATTGTTCTCCCACAGCTTCTTGAAAACTGATTGGCACCCCTGTGTATGTGTCGGCGTCGAGGTGCGCCCAAACTTGTCAAAACTTATATCAAACCATTCATAAATCTCTTTGTGAAGGGCATAGTATTTGTTGCATATTTGCTCCGGAGTAAGCTTCTCCTGCACAGCCTTAACCTCTGTGGCGGTGCCGTACTCATCGGTACCACCTATGTAGAGAGTGTTATACCCCCTCTCAGCCTACAGAACCGTGCAAATACGTCTGCACTCAGCACACAACCAATCAGGTTTCCCGGGTGAGGCACGTTGTTCACATACGGCAGCGCACCGGTCATCAAAACATTCCTCTCCCGGGGGATGGGTAGCTTGGGGGTTGAATTATTTGGTTCCTCCATTGATTAATAATATTTCTGCAATAACAAACAGAATCCCTAGATATTATTATTATGGAGCCCTACGATCGAGAAAACTTAATAAGAGCTAGAGAAAGTGTGGCTAGTGATGAACGATGTGTGAAAACAGAGATCCCTCCTCTTCTGCATTTATAGGAGTAGTAATAATAATATGATCGATTTTCCGGCTCCCAATAGGATTGATAGGAACCGACTAGAGACGAAGAAACTAAACTAATTTATTAATCTCTTTCCCACTTGGAACCGGCTTTGATTATTTTCTGACTTCAAGAGGTGAAAAAGATCGACCACAATTGGAACAAAGATCGGCCGAGGGTCCAAATCTCACGCTTACTGCCCCCATTGGTGGTGGAATATTGATGTGGATATGAATCAAACTAGTATGAATGCCTCATATGTCATGAACGGAGATTATTCGGACCTGATCGGAGGAATAATCGGAGATTAAAGGACTGAAAGTTAGGGTTTAAAAGGGGAGGGAATTGGGAACGTCGGATGGACGAGAGGGAGACAGATTTCTGAAAATATTATTTCACCACAAAATTATCCATAATCCATTTTCTGTACAATTTTGACTATTTATAGCCAAACGATTTCCTATATTGAAATTAACCCCCTGAACTATGGAAATAGGATAATTAGGTCCTCTTCCATGACATCATCAATGTACAATGCTAATCAATAACAAATAAACAAACCTGACGATGATCAATTTAGGACACACGGCCCATAAAATTAGAGATCCGAAAAAAAAAAGTCCTCAAATTTTTTTAATATTTTTATTTTGGTAAATAATGAATTCTACTAATACTAAAATCACCATATTTACAACCAGCTAATTATTACACTGCATGATAATTCAACAGTTATGCCTCGATTCAACTAAAGGATGGGAAAAAAAAATAAAATTAAATATATTGATGGATAAAGTTTTCTTTTATGCAAAATGTAAATTAAGAACAAATAAACCAATTTACTTTACTTAAAATTTGTGCATAATAATTTTTTTTTGGTGCAAAATAGGAGGCAAAAGCCTAAATTCTTATATTCGAGGGATATGCAACCCCTATTATAGCATGTTGCAATCATGACCTAACACCTAACGATGGTACATCAAACCTTTGCAGACCTACCGGACCAGAAGCTGCTAACGAAGCTAAGTAGTCAGTCACGAAATTTGCCTCCCGATAAACGTGATCAAGCTCCTCTGTCCAATCACGATGTAATAGTTCCCGGATCCCGACAATCCCCGAATGAATTCCTAGAATTTTGCATAATAAATCTTTTAACTAGACACTTTCTTAATTTTATTACTAGTGTCTAATATTTTCCGAACTACTGTATGCTACTATTAAAAAAGTATACTCGCCAAAATCCAAAACAAAAACGGAAGTCCCTGTAGTATGTACATAAGCAACAAATAGCAGGTTTCAGTGGCTTATGGGCTACAAATTAGCATTGAGAAGCCCAACAAAACGAAGTGGAATATAGCGGGCCATAACACAGGCCGCTTTCCGTCCCTCTAAAACCCTAAAACACATCTGCTCTCCGATTTCGGTAACCCTCTTCCATCTCTGCGGAGCTCTCAATCTGAATTTGCGCTTATCAGCTCTATCAACCGGCCGGTGGTCAAGCAATGGCGTCCGGCGGTCCAACTGTGTTGCAATTCCCCCAAGCTTCGACAAATCTAACGGCAAAGATTCATCCGTTAGTCATCTTCAACATATGCGACTGCTTTGTGAGGCGACCTGACCAAGCCGAGCGCGTCATTGGAACTCTCCTCGGCTCTGTCTTGCCCGACGGCACCGTTGATATCCGCAACTGCTATGCCGTTCCTCATAACGAGTCCTCAGATCAGGTTCGTCCCTTCACGAATTAATGACTTGTGTACTTGAAAGCATATTTTCATACCCTAAGATTTCCGGCTGAATTACCAATTTTCGTCCGTTTGGTCTCGTTAAACGTTCTAATGCAATCGTGAGAGCTAGTTTGAGTAATCTGGGCATTTGATGATTTCAGGTGGCACTGGATATTGATTACCATCACAACATGCTGTCGTCCCAGCAGAAGGTGAACCCAAGGGAAGCTATTGTCGGATGGTAATTCTCGTTGATCCTTTATTATTGTCCCATTCTTTATATTTTTTTGGTTAAAGGTATATTACTGCTTCTCTCGGATGTTTGTGTAGTCCGTTAAATAGCTGTTAGATGGGGAAGGAACAAGTTTATTAGTGGAATTTCTCGGCCTAACTTATATTCAGAATTAGATAAAGAATAGAACTACATGATAAGGTTGTTTGTTAGGAAATGGAAATTATTCCGTGAGTATCTTCTAGAACTATAAAGCTGAATGAAAGGTTTCGGAACGAACATGTAAGCATCAATCTGATTTTCCACCCGTTTTATGCTACGAAGTGGCTTGATGCCGATCAATCATCCTATTAGTCATTGGTTATAGTAGCTTATGATGTCCACACTGAGTTCTCAGCATATTTAGAGTCACGTATGGATAGGACATGTTCCTAAAGACGAGAGCATCTGTTATGGTGTTGTGTTTTGCAGTTTGATTTTAGCACGTTTTCCATATGTCTTTTGCTTTGTTGATTTTCTTTTACTACCTCTGAGAGAGTAACACCCCGTCATAAGTCTATAGATGTTAGAACATGTGCTGTGGTTTTAAAATTTTAGTGCTTGGAGGTTGTATTTCATTGTTTTGGCGAATTCCAGGTTGCTTGTGCCATTGTTTGACTGTGTTGTATTTTCAATGTCAGTACCATGTTATTTTTGTTCAGAACAAGAGTTCCCCTATGCAGTTTTTCATTTCTCCTGGTTATGCATTGTGATTTTTGAGTGTAATTCTAGTTGTTTTAAGCATCATGCATTAACTCATGTTATGGAATGATTCTTTTTCTGTTGGAATGGCTGTCGTGATACCCTTAGATAATGTGGTTAGGTTCTGATATCAACTTAGTTATTCTCTAAAATCAAATGTAATTTTTCTATCATTTCAATAGGTTTTCTACTGGATCCGGGGTCACAGGCGGTAGTGCGTTAATCCATGACTTCTACTCTAGAGAAGTTCCAAATCCTGTTCATTTGACTGTCGATACAGGCTTCAAAGACGAAGGGCGCACCATCAAAGCTTTTGTCTCTGTTAATTTGTCCCTTGGAGATCAGCAACTTGCTGCCCAATTTCAAGAAATCCCATTGGACTTGCGCATGGTGGAAGCAGAGCGGGTTGGATGTATGTTTACTTAATTGATTTGCCTGTGTGTATAATTTGTCCTTACCTTACACTGGGGTGGCTAGGAGTAAGTCTTGGAATGGGGTTTCTGAAAATGTTCTCTTTGATTCAGTGAAACTGTTTCAGTGTTAGAAGTTACCCTCGCCCTTTTTGTTAGCATAATTGATGTTGGTAAATTAAAAGTTTTTTAATCGAAACAAAAATGGTTTTGGTCGAAGTTTCAGTTTCTTACATTTTTTATGTTATCTTTGGAAGGCAGTAATGTGCCTGTCTATCATGTGGCATTGTTATAGCTTTTTCTGAAATGTTGTTTTCATCTTAATTGTTCAAAGTGATGTTACTTCTGAATGTTTCAATGGTTGTTTACAGTTTTGACACTATCTTTCTTGTCATGATGTAGTTGATATCCTTAAGACCACAACGGTTGACAGGCTGCCTGGTGATCTGGAAGGGATGGAAGCTACCATGGAAAGGTTGCTTGCTTTAATTGACGACGTTTACAAATATGTGGACAATGTCGTGGTAAGTGCAATTGTTTTGTACATTCCTCTTTTTGTGGGTAAACTCATACAACTCTTTTCTGATTCAAGGTTTCTCTTTCATCTCAGGAAGGGCGTGTTGCCCCTGATAACAACATTGGTAGATTTATATCAGATACTGTAGCATCCTTACCCAAGTTTTCACCTCAAGCTTTTAATAAGCTTGTAAATGATAGTTTCCAGGTAAGCATACCCTTACCCCCCAATCATGTCTAAAACTCTTTATAGTTCCTTTATTTGCCTGATTTGTCTTTATTTTGGACATTGGATCTTAAATCTGAAGTGAACCTTTTTATCTGGGAAACACTTAAACCCAAATTAAGTTGGGCTCCATTATGTTCTCAAGCTGAATGAATCACCTCCATTACTCGGTTCTGGGATCTAATAGCCTTTATTCGAAACAAATGCACATTTGCTTGTCGGGTTTTGATTAATGGGATAATGTTATTTGTTTACTAACCGTAAAATATCTTTGCTTGTTTAGGACCATTCTCTTGTACTTTATCTGTCAAGCATCGCAAGAACGCAACTCAGCTTGGCGCAAACTCTGAATACGGCTGCTCAGTTATTGTAATTGTAATGTTAAAGTTTCCAAGTTGCCCAGAACCGTTGATCATTCATATACGTTTAGTGTATGACCAGCTTTTGAAGAATTTGGTCATTCTTTTTGAAGATGATGTAATATTAACGTAGTCACTTTATGATGATGACCTATGCCATCTGTTGCGGCGACCAATTTCTGTTTTTTCTCTAGTTTCCTGTCTTTTTCCAATTTTGTTTGACAAATGCCTCCATCTTAGAAATATAGCTAGTGATTGAAACATTTTACTTTGTTGTCCCATCTGAACTTAATGCAAGTAAAGCTATTTCCAAATTGAGTTGCTGAATATGGTATGGTAAATCAACCCATGGAGGTCTTGTCCTGGATAGACTGCAACTGTGCTAATAATATGTTAGATATTGCATACTATTTTTATCTCAACAAAAATCTCCTTGCAATAGCACAAGCATACAAACTGGTTTTAGTAACCGAGTAAAACTCTGTTATTGTGTGGTGACTGGTAAGCGAAATCAATATTTCAAAGATCCTGAGGCATGCATTTAACCAAGTGCAATATTTTCATTACTCTTTAAACTTCAGGCTACCCAGAACTAAGACTACAAATCAACTTATTTCTTTTGGTGATGCAAAGTGTATAACCAATTTACCTGAAATGGACCGGCGCATTTACCCGATGTAGGAGGACCTTTTTCGATCATGGGGTTAATAAGCAGGCTGCCATGCTTGCCAAAAGGCCAAAGATCGATCCTGAAAAAAGAAAGACAAGTGCCCCATAGCCGCTGTCGCTTTTCGGAACATAATACTGATACGAACTGTTTCCTAGGTTATCTCCTCCTTATCGATTTTAGGCCTATGATTGGGGGCGATCTCACAACTCTTTTTTGGTTCCAGCTTGTAATAATGGTGTCGCCAAAATGGGGGTGTTTGAAGGAACTTCCCCCATTAACCCAAGTCGTGACAAGGTTAGTGGAGACAACAAAGAAAAGGACGGGATTTCGGGCGGCCTAGTTTTCACGCGTGCCCTTCTTAATTTCCCATAATAATATAATATATATTTTAACACTTTATTTTTCGTTACTACAAATTGCTCCCAATCCCTTCGCAGTTTGCATGGCATAAAAGCAAATGAACAAATCTTTACAAAAAATTTTACTGTTGCATGCACGTAAAATGTAGATTGCTATAGCTAGGTATATAGGCTGCTCGGATCTCACTGAAAAACATTTTTCCTTGTTTTTGTGATCACAGATGAGTGAGAGATACTATACGTGAGAATTGGTAAGCCCGAAAAATGAAAAGGACTCTCTTTTTCTTAAATGGGGAAGAAAGATAAGAGAGGAGCAGCATCATTTTGGAGGATTGGGTGAGGACAGGCGAATCGGACGTTTGGTGCTTTTTCCGATCACTCCTCTTTCCATCCTTCCTATGACCACCCAAATTTTATAACTCATTGAGTTTGGTGTTGACTGTTTAATGGATAGCATATACCCTCATTACGTCGAAATTCGTCTCTAATATCATATAGTTTATTATTATTTGATCAATAACGACACAAGTTATTAGGAAATTAAGGAAGCAAATTAAATTTTTTTTTTTTTTAAAAAAAGGAGGAATCGATGATGTACTTGACTCTTTTAAATTCTTCTTATTTGTTGGTTTAGTGGTTTCTCAATTATGTCTTAATTTCAAAAGCATCACTTGGGAAAGAGATGCACTTTGAAGTTATAAAATGCGCATGCAATAAGGAGAGTATAAAGCTTCAAAAGATATATCACAAAAGCAAAATATATGAATCAATTTTGTAAATCAGATTCTTTTGCTTTTTTAATTTTGTGATAAATCGGCTTTGAATGTATATATGCATGCCGGTTTAACTTTTAATTTCAGTACCACAACAAAAGGGAGGGATATACGTATAATATTTTTGAAAAAAGAAATAAAGAAAAGAAAAGGGTTTAATTTGGTGCTCTTTGATCGAGTGGACAAACCTAGGAGTTAGAGAGGAGAATAGAGCAAGGCCAAGTGCTACAAGACAAATAAACCCAAACTAATATATTTGTTGGCGGAGTTCAAAACTTTTTTGTAAAAAAATAAATAAATAAAAATAAATAAAACATTTTTGAGAAATGTGTGAAAAGCACGCACAACCCCAATTGACCGTTTACTTTAGTTTATCGATTACTATAGAATCAAAATTGGACCTCAAAAAACAAGCTGTCCGGACAAGAATGGAGGAAGATACGCTTAATTAATCACCCAAGTGGGAACCCAAAATGTATAGCTTGGGATGGTCGTGTTTCATATAGGTAGGTCGATCAAAATATAGCCATTTAGAATATCTCTTTTTAGCTTTTCTCTCTTTGCAATCAAAAGGTATTTTGTGACATTATAATCTGCCTCAAATTCGGCCACTAAGCCATCAAACCATTTCTTAACTCTTTGTCGGTCGTACGTGCTATGTTTTAGTTTTTTTCTTTCTTTTTTTTTTTTTTGTAAGATTTAGGAGTTTTTTTTTTTGTTTTGTTGGTGTTGTAAAGTAAAGTAAAGGTAAAGTTTTTTCAAAACAATTTTAACAAGTACAACGTTAAGCACTAGCAAGGTCGTGACAAATTAAATCGCAATACTAATGATTCTTAATATTGGTATTATTTTCTTAGTCCTCAGCAAAATAGTTTATTTTATTTAATTATTTATTGTTTTTCTGCAAGAAAATGAGTACATTTTCGTTATTAATTCTTATTATTTAGTAAATTTTAAAAAATAATAATAACACACTTGACTTTTATTATGGGACGTAGAGATTGCTAAGGCCTTGTTTTATAAAACCATTTAATGTTTAAAATTATTGGTTTAAACATTTTTTCATTTCAGCATGTCTTATAACAAAAAATGAATCTCTTAATGAAATAAATGGTGTAGTACAAAATATAAGCAATAAAAGTTATCTAATTATTTATTCCTTAACTGCTTAATGAATTAAGAATTTCTACTTTAGTATTAAGCATTAATTTTTATCAAACAGTTTCATGTTGGCTTATACGCGCCAGTTCTAAAATCTTACTAAACCACAACTAGATTATATTGACCATTGATGTAGCTGAAGAGCTTTCGATTGCAACGGAAATAAGCTCTCTGCTTTTAATTAACAACTAAATCTTGTTATCTGCATAGTTCGGATTAAGATTTAATTAGCTGTATAAGAAAAAGAAATTCAGTCCAACTCACTTGTCAGCCTCGAGACAGGAAGCCAGAAGACAGAAGAAAAGCCAATTTGGTCTGCCTTCCACTTTTAAACTTTAAAGTCGGTCAATTGTAATGTGAGTCTTCCTCAAAATTCAATTTTGTAACTTTTATATTTTCCGCTCTTCCGCAGTCCATACATAAGAACAATACATTAAAAAAAGAAAAGAAAGGAAAAGAAGTAGTAGTAGTAAAAAGAAGGTCTATATGCAGCAAAAAACTAAAAAAATTTGACTGAACACAAACAGTATGGTTCGCATGGTCAGAGCTAAAATTCAGTAGAATCCTGATCAAAAAGCATCCAAATGGGATCAGACAATGTGAACTTTGACTTTCACCTCCTTCAATTCTTCTTTTGCCAGTACTACTGCTCATCTTTCTTTCTTAGCCAGAACAGAAATCAATTAGTTTATCCACCAAACTTGGATTATTTGTATGTCCTTGTAGTTTTGTTCCTATTACCTAAACCCTAACTATACATTACTAAGAACCAACCACAAAACAACAAAAATATCGACAGTGCATAAATCCCAATATCATAGCCTAGTTCCACCCCATCAACTACTACTTGTGAGTGTACAGTGATTAAATAAAATTAAATTTCATGTCAAGGGGACCGTAAGTTAAATTTTACCGTTATATTTTATAAATTTATGATGAAAAATGAAATTAAATTTAGGGTTCTGTTTCATCTTTTGGTAGGATTGATATGTTGTGAATTCTTTTACTGCTTCTTAAGCTGTGATATCTTTCAAGTGGTAACACTGGCCCGTACTCTATATCCATATGTAACTCTCAGCTGTAATATCTTTCAAGTGTCACTATCCATATTTAACTCTAATTTTTGTTTTTTTTCCCCATTTTTTTATTTTTTCAACTTAGTTAAAATTACATTCGAAATTGACAGATGATCCGAAGGAATATATTTTAATGCAAACTTTGAGGACTCACTTCCTTGTCTCTGCTCGCAGACCGAAACTTTGAATAGTGGCAGCTTTTGTGCATGTCTATCTCCATTTTTCACAAAAAACCAGGCAACACACACACTTATGTAAAAAGAAGAAAAAAAAAACAATTTGATCAAACCCCTCAAAGTCCTATCCTCACATTCCCTAAAATCAAAGCACTAGCCTCTGTCTCTACACCCCAAAAAAAAAAAAAGGGTTAATTTCTTTTGCTTTTTCCCTTAGTTAATTAGATCCAAAATTGAATAAACCAAACAATATTAATTAATTATGTTAGTGCTCATAGTACGTTGTCATTGAACTTTCTGCTTACATAAATAGCCACACGGGAGCCCCCACTTCTTTTGAGTTCAGAAGCTTAAGCTCAGAAGTAAAGTACCCCCACTCAGAACCATCATATCAAAGTTTCCAGAAAAAAAAAAAAGAAAAGAAAAACACATATCATTACGACTGAGTAGTAAGTAGTTGGTTAGCTTTTTAGCAACGATCAAACAAAATCTCATCAAAACATGGATATTGAAGGAGGGTTTTGCATTAAGGCAAGAGGCGGTTACGTTGGTGGCGGGACAAAGTGTGGGCGGTGGAATCCGACGACAGAACAAGTTAAAGTCCTGACTGAACTCTTCAGGTCAGGGCTTCGAACCCCGAGTACGGATCAGATCCAAAAGATTTCTTCCCAGTTAAGTTATTACGGTAAGATTGAGAGCAAAAACGTTTTCTATTGGTTTCAAAACCATAAAGCACGTGAAAGGCAGAAGCGTCGCAGGGTTTCCGTCAATCATCGCGAACAGAAAGAAAACCATTACGAAGACCAGAATCATACCAACAACAACAACAATTCTTCTTCCATTAAAACGAGTAAGCAAAAGCTATAATATGTCATGTTTATTGTATTCATTTGAGCCCTTTCCATTTTTCTTAATTCTTGGGATTTTCATTTTTTATTTTTTTAATAATTTTTTTGTTATAACTCCTGACAGATATAACGGATATTGCTCAGTTAAACAATCATCAGGTTCCGGATCATCAACATCATGAGAGAGTGATAGAGACTCTGCAACTATTTCCATTGAATTCATTCAGCGAAATGGAAGCAGAAAAACCGATGAGATTCTTCCCGAACGATTGCAGAGGGAATGCAGCATCGTTTTCTAACTACACAATCGGGGCGGATCATATGGTCCATATGGACCACCACCAATACCACCCGACTTTAGATCTTCGTTTAAGCTTCATGTCTTGATGAAGACATGAACTTCTTACATATCTCCCCAGTCAAAAGTACGAGGAGTAGTACTTTTCAAGCGTGCATGGGACATGAAAATTCATCCCAGAAAAAGAAAGGGAGTTAGAAAAAAGGAAATTAGTATGTAGTGTATTCAAAGTAGTAGTAGTAGTTTTTACTTAAGGTTATGTTGTTATGTGGTGGCATCAGTTTGTAAAATCAATGCACGTAGCTCTAAATTGGTGATGAATCATCTTTAGGTTGGGAAATGCTTCAGACATTTATTCTCCTTAATTTATAAAATTATTTTGTTGCCATGCATGACGTTATTATAAGACTCTCGTTTTGTTTTTCTTACTCTGTCGGAAAATTCGATGTTTATTACAATTTTTTACGTGCATGAACAAATGTGAATGGTTGGAATCTGAACTATTTTATAGTCCGCCGGTAGCTAGTTTTCCGATGAATGGAAATACTAGCATATTACTAAAGGCCTGGCGCCACTTGTTTATTAGTTAATATATATTGGTGGGTTATTACATCTCGATCGGAAGTAGTTCTGGTTAATATATTAATCATTTATATTAACGTATAAGTTAGATGCATGTGCTTTATAATTACTTTGGCCCAAAGGAAATTGATCAACACTTGAGCATTCATTCAGAACAGCCTAAAAAGCCTGTCACAAAAGCACTTATGAAAAGATGCAAACGAATTTAATTTGAATTAAAAATAAACTTCCAAACTGAATAATAATTTTAAGTCGGAGAGAGTAAATATTTAATTTTGACGGTTATTACCAACAACTAGTGGACGGATTTTTAATTTAAGCTTACAAAACTGCCGTTACTTTTCATAGGAATATCGTTTGTCATTACAAAAAGGCTTGTCAGAATGTCTAATGATGTCATCATATATAGATTTTTTTAAAAATTTCTTCTTCAATTTTTGTATCTAATTTCATCTTATGGAAATTAAATGTTACTTTATCTAATTATTTACACTGTATTTTTTTTTATTAATAATACAACCCAAACAAAGAAATAGGCAAATTCATTTAAGTAATAATTAAATACGTGGCATTTATATAATTGCACGTCCTATTACAAATAAGTTTATCTACATTTTTTTTATTACAAAAAATGGAGACAACTACCTATAATCAAATTTAATGGGGATATGTAATTCGATTACATCATGTTCTAATAATGTATCACTCCCCGCAGATCAAATTTGTGACTATATTTTGGGCAAAATTTGTGTATTTTATAGTTTGTACAAAACTTGTTTCTTTTGGTCGGCTTTAATTTTGAGCTACTAAAATCAGAAATTTATTTCGGACTTTGAGGCCCATTTAGTGAACAGATCGGCCAGCCCAGAAAGCAAGTCAGGAGACGCAGCTCTGTTGCTCCTCCTCTAAGAAACAGACTCTTGCTCTGTACTATTATTACACGTTTGGTATTAATAATTCTTTCAAGCGGACTCTTTTATTTCCAGGATTTTTCTGTTTAGAGAGCATTGAGCCCTAATTGTTCCGGGGGAAAAAACTCGATTTGGATTTGAAGGTAGGGAGGGAGCAATGGATGTGATAAAATCGCAGCAAATTTCAGCCCGGCCAATCGACAAGGTCGTCGTCCACCCGCTGGTGTTGCTCAGCATAGTTGATCACTACAACAGAGTCGCCCGGGACACCAAGAAACGCGTCGTCGGGGTTTTGCTCGGCACCTCTTTCAGGGGAACCGTTGACGTCACCAATAGCTATGCTGGTTCAGATCTGAACTTTTCCACTTTTAATTTGTTGCCCTTTAAGTTTTCTTTCTTGCTTCAGTTATTGTTCGTGTGTTCGTGCAATTGACCTATTGCCGAATATAGCTGTTTTAGCTTTTCCGGAATTTTACGGAGTAATTGTTGTTTGGGGATTTTAGGGTTTAGGTTTTTATTTTTATTTAAGAAAAATAAAGAATGCTTGCAGAAAGTTTTAGGGTTGAGACACTTACGGGGTGGAATTTTTCTTCCCTTGCCATATTAGGCCTGAAGGAAAGATATGTTTTGTGGGGCAGATCACTTAGAAATTGTGGATGAAAGTTTAAGTTTCTTTTATTTGTAAAACGGTAGATTATATCACTCACAACCATATGAACAATATTTACATCAGTCTGGCTAGTTGAGACATGCTCTTTACTACATCAAGATTCAAAGAAAAAACTGACTATATGTTCAGCAGAAAATTTAGTTTCTTTTTACTGCTAATTGTTAAGAAATTAGGTAGACTGGGAGTTATGTCGTGCTCAAAATTCGGGGTTTAACTTTATTTTAACTTGATGTCCTTTTGTTACCTTTTGCTTTATATCTTGCGGAGTAGATTCTCTTACCCTCAGATTTTAATATATTGTTGGCTTTACCTTTGGTCATTCTTAGCTGTTGAACATTAGAGTTGGACTTTATCAATGTTTACCAGCTATTTAGTCTTTTACTAAAATACTGTATGCAGTCCCTTTTGAAGAAGAGGATAAGGATTCTAGTATCTGGTTCCTAGACCACAATTACCATGAAGCAATGTTTTCGATGTTTCGGCGAATTAATGGTACTGAGCTTATTCTTGTGTTTTTAAATATTTGATCTTGGTATATTACAATTTTTGTTTTCCCCAATCATTAATTGGCCCATTGTATTGTTCAGCCAAGGAGCATGTTGTTGGTTGGTACAGTACGGGTCCCAAACTGCGGGAGAATGATCTGAATATTCATGCTCTTTTCAATGAGTGAGATTCTCATCCCTTTAATAGTGTCAGCCTTGATTCTCGAGAGTATTGGTATTTTATCTGTTAATTTTATAAGTTGATAAGAATTGCTTCCTCACAATGATGTTTGGTGTGTGGAATTCAGATATGTGCCAACTCCAGTCTTGGTCATTATAGATGTCCAGCCCAAAGAATTGGGAATACCTACAAAAGCTTATTATGCTGTTGAGGAGGTTAAAGAGGTAGGGATGTTTCTATTTTGTTTGGTACTGTGGTTGCCTAATTGATTAGATTTCTTTGAAAGAAATTTCTTGACCTTTCCCTAGGTATACCTCGTGATAAATTGTTTGAATTTTATTGTGTGTGATTGCAGAATGCAACACAGAAAAGCCAGAAGGTGTTTGTCCATGTGCCTTCAGAAATTGCTGCACATGAAGTTGAAGAAATTGGTACGCTAGATGAATCTAAAATCTTTGAATCTTCATGTATAAATTTTGTTTCATGTGTAAAAAGGTATTCAAGGTAGTAGTTCTTTTTTTTTTTTCCCTCTTATGTGCAGGAGTTGAACACTTGCTCAGGGATGTTAAGGACACTACAATAAGTACCCTGGCAACCGAGGTTCCTGACATATTCAATTTTATATTATAGATAAAGAGCTGATATATTGGAGAGGTCTTTATTATTTTGTTTGAAGAGATATTCATCAGTTTCTGTCTGTGGTCTAGGTTACTGGAAAACTTGCAGCCTTGAAGGGATTGGATGCACGGCTTCAAGAGATAAGAAGCTACCTCGACCTTGTTATTGATGGAAAATTACCTTTGAATCATGAGATACTTTACCATTTACAGGTAAGTGTATCTTATTTAGATGCTGTTCATCACAGTGGCTACACTCTTTTCTCTTTTAATAGATTCATCCTGATCGAATCAGTTCTTAAAATTGTGCCTTATCATAGAAAGTTAGTTGCTATAATATACTTCCTCTTAAGAGCATCTGGGGCATCATAGCCAGTTTGTTGTTAGCATGATCTACAGGATCCAAAACTCAGGCTACTGTAAACATTTTTTCAGATACTGGATCACAATTTTTCCTTTCTCGGTTGTGATTTGCGGTGGTGGTTTGGATGTCATTAGCGAATATGCCTTAGCCTGTGCTTTGCAGTAGTTAGTCTAAAAGTCACTCTGTCTTGACTCATTCAATTTTGTTTTCTTTTTCGCATGCCAATATTGGTTTATTGAAGCACAGCAAGTGAATTACTAATTGCTTCCATTGACAATCGACTTTTCATATACCTTTTGCATTTTGATTTGCTTCCTCTAGATAATATCCTCAAAGTAATGGTTATGCACTGCCTTGTATCTAGACTGAGATGGCGAAATATTGGGAACTTGTTTTTTGACTGTCCTCTAATTGAATACATTGTTTTCCTGCAGGATGTGTTTAACCTGCTTCCAAATCTCAATGTATCTGAATTAATTAAATCATTTGCAGGTAAGTTTGTCTGTTATAATATATTTTTGGTGGATTTTTGCTTCTTTGGTGAAGCGCCTTCCCTCGGACTCAGATAGAGTAGTTAATATAACTTCCCTGTGTCCTTTTTTTGCAGTGAAAACAAATGATCAAATGCTGGTTATATACCTTTCTTCCCTTATCAGAAGTATCATCGCACTGCACAACTTGATCAACAACAAGGTGAGATTCAATAATCTTTATTACTTTTTACCATTTGCTGCCTTGATAGTAGTTATATATTATACGCAGTATGTTAAATACTCTAGAGAAAGTTTCTGTTCCATCTGGTTTCATGTGATGGGAAAGCTACTTAAAAACTGTAATTAATGAGCAGCAAGTGCATGTTTTCAGGACTCCTTTACTTCATTTACTTGTACAGTATACTAATCTTTCCATCTTTGTGGTATGCATGGCAAGGATGAATGTTTCTAGACTGATTCCCCCTTTTTTACCTTTTCAACGGAGCTATATAGAAACGATGTTTTGAATGTGATCTCTTTTACATAAATTTTTTCTGGGGAATGGTTTTTACGTGGAATTAAAGCTTGTTGATATGCGACTTTCTGAGCCTTTGTTTCACGGTTCTGTTACCTCTTTTCTTTTAGATGCTTAACAAAGAGCACGAGAAAGCTGAAGATTCAAAGCCAGTTGCTGTGCCGACTGCTGCTGGAAGCTGATCATGTAAATGTGTCGAGAGATATACTTTATTTGGGAACCTTTTGGTGATGGAATTGTGAACGTTTTGGAGTTGATCAAAAAGAAGTCTTGTCAGTGATTTTGACACAACCTCATGAATGTTGTTCGGAATGATTTAACCTTAGTATGTGAGGAAGTTTGCCTGATCCTTGTTCCCTCAGGATCATAGGTAGAGGGATCACATTGGAAAATAGACTCAGACATCAATCAATAGTTGTTCTGCTCTAGCTCATCCCATTTTTTCTTGTTTAAAGCTGAGTTATTCAACACTTGCATTCACTCTCGAACAATTAATCATTGCAGCATGGTATTTCCTTGCCTCAAAATCTAGTATATTCCAACGATTGTATGGCCTTTGCAAATCAAACTGGCAAATGCAGACCAATGATTTCCCTCACTTTGTAAAAGTGAGAGTAATTGAGGTTAACATATTTCAGTTATTTTGTTGCATCAAAGGATAAAGCAGGCTTCCATATCTAAGTATCTAACCTTTTGAAAGAAACTAAAAACCATATATTGATCAAGGCCTAACCTTCAACTTATGCAAAAATTATGGTAAGTGTCGGCCTTAAGACAAATGAGGTTTGGCAATAAGAATTAAGATCATCCTTCCTGGTATAACCTAATATCTAGAAGATGCTAACCGACATTGTCTTCATCGTCATCGGGAAGAACTGACTGCTCAAAGTCAGCATCCATGATTACACCGTCCATAATATGCACAATCAGGTTGTTCTTCCCCTGCAAATCCACATGCTCGGATCGAACTCTGTTAACCAGCAGCATCCCATCGTCATCTCTTGAAATGTACAAGGTAAATCCGGCCAAAGAATCATAATCAATCTCCTGATCTCGCGGAACATCAACTGAATGAATCATCCTAGGCACAGCAGAAAACCCCAACACCCGAGTAAGTACAGCGTAAGTGTCCCTACCATTTTCTCCCTCTAAGCTTTCATTTGAATGTAATCCAAGGATGCGTTCAAATGCCGTTATTGAAGGCAAAAATATAGTAAATGGTAGATCTCCAGGCAGCATTTCAATCACCATTTCTCCAAATCTGCCGATTTTGTCGTCGATCTTAGTGACTTCTTTATGTTCTTGCCTGAAGGAACCTCGGGGTAATTCAGGAAGTCGAAATATTGAGAGAAACAGAACAAAGAAACAGCATAAGAAGATAGTTGCGCAAAGAAACGCAACTGGATTCTTCAGAGTGTGAACCCGTATGAGATTCATCTTCTTTCAGGCTTGATAACTGCACAGATCATCACCTCACTGGACGTTTCAACTTCAGAATTGATCATCAAAGCTGTGATTCAAGATGTCCTGAGGTGAAAAACCAACATAAAAAGTCGGCAACAGGAATTGAACATTTCCCTAATAAGTAAGCTCTGCTTTAATTTAGACAGAAGAATTCGAATGCGGACCTGCGGGGATCAGTGCCTGGAGAACAGAAAGAAAAAGATCCAGTTTCTGGGCCGCCCCGGCCCGATAGAGAGAGAAGCTAATTCGAGTTGGAGATGGTGAGGCTATAGATTGAAATTGGAAAATTAATGAGAATGAATAAAGGCTTATGGAGATTCCCAACTTCTGAGTCCCCCAGTGCACCCAGTTTCTTTGTTCTTTCCTTTCTGACTTTCTGCAAGGAAAAACCGGCTATGGGAACTAATTTTTTAACAGTTCCCCATAGAAGGGATCGCTCCTCGAGCTCTCCCTCAGATTCTGACTATGGAATTCCGTGCTTAGGGAAAATGTGAAAGTGCGGGGGGCTTTGTAAAAACTATTACTTAGCTAGTAGTTTTGTTATCATTTGATCTGTGATGTAATTATAAATTTCTTTATATTTTCAAATATTAAAAATATAAACAATATACATTTATTTATTTTATGCGTATTGAAAACTGTGTAGTTAGATGTGTCAAGAATTATTAATGTATAACACCCATAAGAGTATAACTAAGAGAAGTTGAATCTGTGGATTTTTTTTCCTAATAAGAATTGAAAGATTTCTTAATGCTTCATTGAAATGAAACTGTGCTGACATGAAATTTTGCCAAAGAAATGAGACACGAGTTGGGTAGAAAAGCGCAAAAAACTTTTACATTGTATAGTATTCAGTATTACACGCTACATACCACAAAGTCCAAATTAAACTCAAACCAAAATGCCAAGGGCTTATAACTTCATTTTATTTTCTTTTCCTGGGGGAAAAAGAAAATCTCGTTTAAGCGAATAGAACAATCACCATTATCATGTGGTCTACCATTCAACTGGTGGAGTTCACTATAAAAGAAAAGGAGTAGAGACCACAAAATACGCGCATTGCCAACGTGACCAAAAATGTGATCATTACGTAGTCGTCTGTGCCACTGTCGTCTTTGCTACTTCCACTCGAGATAATCAAAACACTGTTGTTATTATCATTACTATTATTAGCACCATTTTGACAATCCCCACAAAAAGAAATGGACCACAAAATGCTACTACTATTCCGAACGGCAAGGTTGAGATTTTTTTTTTTTTTAACATATTTCAGGATGTCCACTGTTGACAACAATGACTAATCCTCTCGTTATAATAGCCACCTCGATGAGTGGAAGAGCTGGGCAAAGGATTTAAAATTGCCCCATATACCCATGACGAGGTTCTAATTCTCGACTATGGTTGAGCGTGGAGAAGTCCTTACCACTCCATCACAACCCTCTGGTTAGTAAGGTTCAAATTTGAGAGCGCCCTTTGGGAAATCGAATGAATGTAGCCCATCAACTATGCTGCTACACTGCTACGACACGGATCACCGTTTTAATTAGTATGATAATTCTCAGTTGGCATATTTTGTTTGACATAAAGTATATCAAACTTCGATTCTGGCCCAAAAACAGGACCAGTGAGATTGATGATTGAACCAAAACACTTGGCATTGACCCAACTGAATGTGGTAACTCGTTCCATTTCACGAATTTGGCTCGGATTTTGTCATATTTTGTGTCTTTATCAGATTACGGGGTGCAGCATCTTTGCAATCCAATCAAAGTTCAAAGGTGGTTATGATTGATGCTTAATAGTACTATTAGTAGTCAGACTACCCTTTCTCAGCTCCATTACTTTTGTGTAGTCAACTGTTTGTCTTTAGCACTCCACACTTGGGACTCCGGTCAACTACTTATTTAGTTCCCTTTTAGCCTTAGTTTTAGGTGCTAATGGTTTTAAATCAATTCAGTTGTGCTCGTCACAAATTTTACGAATCCAACTCCAGTGATAGAGGATGAACAACCACATAGTCTAACAGAATTCATAGTCTTCAATCCAAAATTAGATTAAATTACCATAGAATAATTACTAATACCACATATAACCCATGTTACTAGTAGAATTAGATAGTACTATTTCACAAACTACACAAAAAAAAAAAGAGTTAAAGATGGTTTAATTTCATCCCAATTCTGAATGGGATTGAGTAAGCCGTCCTTAACAGGTTGAGACATATTGCATGAACTCCGGGTCTGCTTCAAGAGCAGTTAACGTCTCCGGTGACAGAACCACCTCCAAATCAACGCTACCGTTACCTTCTCTGCCGGGGAAGGCGGAAATTTTTCCGTCAAACTTATTTGCGCGCCCGCTCCGAACTGCCATGGGTCTGCCCCACCCGAAATCGTTGTCGTACATTGGAAATCTGGGCGAACTTCCCATTGTGAGCATCGCGCCGTCGAAATTCCCCAAGGGGAAACACCGTGGGTTCCGCTCCCAATCCTCTATGTAGCTCCTCACCATATCGTTGCTGTGGGCGAGCACGTTTTTGTTCAGTTGGTCGGCGCACCACCGGAGATCGTGGGACAAGACGTCGCCGGCGGTAGCATACGTCGGGATGCTTTGGATGGCGTTCCCGAAGTAGAGTGGGTCCAGCTTCGGCTCCAGTCGGTGGCGACAATTTACTGCCATCCGGAACGTTGTCGTTTTAGAGTCGGGCAGTTTCCTGGCACGTGTCACTCCCCGCCACAGTAACGCACACAGCCCTTGGAACGACGAGATTTCGGCCTTCTTCTGCAACTGCCGGTTTAACGGGGTCACCTTGCCGTCAGCCATCGCAATTGGATCGTTCTTCTGTTTCCCCATCAATTCAATGACGTTAATCCCGTCGTTCAATTCCCGTTTCTGATTATTCAACTTGGCCTTGATGTTCAAAATGGATTCCCTGCTGAAACTGAAAATCCTCTCCCTCAACGGCGCGTCAACGTCGAACGTCACCTTGGGCCCACCGGCTGGGAGCCTCAACACCGCCGGAGACACCAGAACCGAATCCCGGCTAAAATCCGGAGTCCTCGAAATCTTCTTGATTCCCCGGGTAACCTCAGCAAAGGTGTTGAAGAAATTCCAGAAGGAAGTTCCATCTGTAACGGCGTGATCGACGGAGCACCCGATGAAAACTCCATCGGCAAGTTCAGTGACTTGGACGGCCAAAATAGGCCTAAAGTGGGCCTGAAAACTCACCAGTCCATCATAACAGAAAAACTCCTTGTACTGAGCAGGTATATCTGTCCCGCCCAATAGTTCGCGAATGCGGATGTGAGAAGCATTTGCATGGACGAAATCAACGCCGGCGTCGTTGCAAGTGATGTAAATGTAACCGTTGGAATCGGTCACCAAACGACCGGCAAGCGGCGGGAAGTGAGTGAGAGTATTAGAGAGTCCGCGTTTGAGGATGGCGATGAGATCAGAGATGGGAACTGGGGGACGGGTAAAGAGGCAGCCTTTTTGGATGTAATGGCAAGAAAGCATTGGAAGGTCGGAAACAGACAATTTGAGGTCTTCCATGGTGGAAGCCTGAGATGGGTAAATGGTACATTTGGAAATCACAATGGGTGTAGAGGAAGGCATTTTGGTTGGATTGATTGATTGATTCTCTTTAATTCTGTGTGTTTTGGGAAAGATTGGGAAAGATTGATTGATTCAGGGTCTTTGAGTGTTCTCAGCTCACTTCGTAGGACTTGGAATTGCCTGCGGAGTGAGGAGAAGAAGCTCTGGAGGTGGGGGGACTGAGGAGAAACGGGATTGAAGAGGGATTTATATAGGGGGGTTAGGATACTTTGGGTGCATGCACAATGGAATAACAAATTGCATAAAAAAGGACAATATTGGTTTGCTGAGGTGGTTGATGAATTTGCTGGTTATGATTTTTTGGGGTTTGATAAATTGAATCTTTCTCTTTCTTTTCTGGATTCATTAAAAATATGTGGGTATTGTGAATGAATAGTGAGAGAAGTTGAAACTGTCTTGTGGGGTTGACTCTCTTTTGTTTATCTCTGCATCAATTAATAAAATACAGTATTTGAGCACTACCACGGTTTTTAGTGTTTTTTTATTTTTTTGTACGGCACCACCCCACTGTAGAAATATGACCACTTGACACTTCACTCGTCTTTGACACGTATTTCATAATCTTCCTTTCCGCAAACATGCTCAAGTAGTATTCATTAAATGTTCGATCTAGTTACAAAACTCCTAACCAAACTTGTTAGTATGGGCGTAGGTGGTAAGAATTCATTCATTTTTATCTAGAGGTAGGATCCTCAAATAATGCTTAGGGCGTACTCTTTATGTTGGAAACTTTTTGTCCAGTTTTAATTTTTATTTTTAGTATAATATTTTGAATTAAAATTAAAAATTGAAATCCGACATAACACTTCTAAGATCCTTTGGTGATAAACACAGTGCTCTATGTAAGAAAAAAGTTATTATATATATATAAATATAAAAACAAATAAACAAAAAAAATTAAAAAAATTTCTAGTTTTAATTATACATTCTGTCTATAATAAACCCACACTTGGCAATGTTAACCTATTTGGTCTACAGTAGTGCTCTAAGGAAAGTGAAATTTACTTTTGTATAAATAATACTCTTTTTGTCCCAAATAATTAACCTATTCATTATATTGATATACTAGTATGTACTACCCTTTGATTAATAATAGAAATCAATTATTGATACCGTTTAATAATGCTGCTATTTTTACGGGGGTATATCCTTGACTCGGAATACCCATATATCAAATAATATGGTTTCATTAAATGGTTAAAATAGTCGTCAAACTACAAGTTTGACAAGAACATTTATGAATTCTATTATAATACTACTAATAACTGATTAAGAATTGACTGATTAAAGGAACAATTTTTTTTTGAATTAACTAGGTATATAAATAGAGATATGTTCAAAACTAGCAATGATACAGAAGATAAACGTAATATCTTTTATTAAATATATGCATGGTAATTTTTTTATTTATTATTACCAACAAACTTATCAAGAATAAATTGATAGAATCAATAAATTATTTGCTTGTACTTATTAAGAAATATATTCACGTCATGGGAGATGTAATATGCCACGTGGCACTTTTTAAAAATTTTATGTGTAGAGTTTTATGAAATGATGGTACTCCTATAATTTTAAAAAAATTTACAATACAATATTAAACGATTTTCTTTTAACAGAAATAAAGATATTTTTATCTCTAATTTTCATCGGTAAGGTGTAAATTTCATAGACCCTCGTGCACGCATTATCCACATGATTACGCCAAAAGTCATTTTTTTGCACGGTGCATAACTGCATCCTGAATCACTGTGAGTCTGTGACCTCAAACCCGACATCGGTGCCGATTCGGTTGTTTCAAGTTTCGACGAGGAGGAAGATAGAGCTCGAATTATATATACGTCGTTAATAATTTATTACTACTACCCCCTTTGTGACCACAGGACTGGAGAGTGGAGAAACAAATGGTGCCTTCCAGAAACGGCACACGTCGTCGTCGTCACAGAGCTATTTATGGTAAAGATCAAAAAAAGATTAGTTAAATCATCAATGAAAGGTTTAGCCCAATTGAACGCAGAACACAAGAATAATCCTCTGATATTTCTGAGATTTTGCTGCCAATTTAAGCAAGTTAGTTATTATCACCATTCACCAATTTTAAATCTTCATTGAAGTTCTCAAACCCATGATTTGCGTTGTAAAATCAATCCGATCAATTTCCACGATAGTATACAATTAGCCATCAAAACTGTGATTCTTATTCCCTTTACCAAGAGATCATGAACGGAAGCTAAGCTGATTCTAACAATCTTTTCCTTTGCTGATTTGTGCTAGCATTTGGGAAACATTAATTGCATTTTGGTGTCACTCCTTCATTGATGAAAAGTCTTACTGGAGTGATCCTTCATTATCCATTTTGTAAACTCTTAATAATCTTTAGAATCAATTTTGAATAGCGCAAGAATGTACTCCCTCTGTCTCAAAATTATTGTCCAATTTAGGATTTTACTTTTACTATAAGTTGTACTGAAAATGAAGATTCAAACGGGACAATTATTTCGGGACAGAAGGAGTATCAATCACCATATCCGCTCATCAATGCAGTATGTTGTAGTAGTTTATAACGTTTGAAATAGTAAAGATTAATATTCTGACAAATCTGGGATTCTAAATCAGTGAATGATCCTGGGAGCCGACTTTTTACGTTCTGGATGTTGGCTGTCATTCTTCTCACTTGTACAGAAGTGGTAGTGCTGAGTACTGAGGAGGGCGGTCTGGAGAAAAGAGATACATTGGAGAACTGAAAATTGAGACAAATCCGAACTGTCTCTCTGATTATGCCAAGTAAAAAAATAAGTACTTATATTAGTGCTAAACTGCTGCTACTTGCCATTTCTTATGAGTATGAAGACTTGTGTTTTAGATTACCTGATTTGAAAAGGTCGGTTCAGCATTAACATAATACTATTTCCAAACCGTCTTTTCTGATTCGTCGGCGCGGCGTCTGAATATATCCTATTATTATATTGACCCTAATCCGGGTGAACCATGCATGCTTCCACATTTTCGAGCCAAATCTGCAGTTTAATAACGTTTGACTTTCTAAGCCTGTCTAGTAATTTATTCCTTCCATTCATCTCAGATCATACATGGCTTCCTAAGAAATGCCACGAGTGAGTAGTATCAACTTAGTCAATGTTCCTGGTATAATTGATTTTAGTGGTGGAAGTCTATAATGTACTCCATCCGTCCCATAATTATTGTCCAATTTGGGTTTTTATTTCTAGTTCAAATTGTACTAAAAGTGAAATCTCAAACTGGACAATAATTTTGGGACAGAGGGAGTAACAACGTTTGAAATCCAGGACTATAATTTCATTTTATTTTATTTTTTGGCATAGCTTAGGAAATATATATATGTATATATTTTGGAATATGATAGAGTATTTAAGGACTAATAATTTGAAATTGATAGTTAGATGGAAGTACAGTTGACTGATTTGACTCCATTTATGTAACCACAAAATAGAAAAATTACAAGTATGGAATAATTAGTCTGGTTATTCACCTTATTGGACTAAACTATAATTTTTAGGGGCTTGGAATAGATATTAGTAAAAGTGTGATTCCTTGTGAAATAATCCAAAATATCTTCATCGAGGGTGGAACTTGGACGCAAAAGTTCAAAATTTTGGGGGCGTGCTGTATTTCTTTTTCACGTGTGTGCCAGTTCATGCTAACCGCCAAGAGTTTTTCCATCTCATCAACCAGTGATTATTTTCCTAGTATTAATTTGTCTTTTCTCCTTGCATTCAAATTCAATGAATGCAGTACCTCAGAGCATATGTAATAATGTAAATGTAATTGATGAATTCCCCCAGGGTTTTTTTCTTTTTCGTTTCCAAAAGAGAATAACACTCCTTGATTTATTACATTAGTACGTAGTTACATGCAAAATTTTCATATACAAGGATTCACATTTATTGACTGCTTAAGGAAATTCAACAAATCCACTTGTTGGTATATGTGCGTGGATAGCACACGACATTATAAATTTTTTAGGTTTTGCCTAATTAATTAATATTGTTAAAGAAAAGAGAAAAAGTTCATTAGAATGAAGTAGCTGATCAAAGAGCTACTTGTTCCTAAATTATTTAGGCAATATGAAAAACCTATTCTCCAAATACCCCAATTATTTTAAGAACCAAGAAGAACTTGACATCTCCACATTCGTCACACAAACCCTTCAAGAGTACCAACCACCATTTTACAAATTCATAAAAATACCAAGAAATCAGTAACAATTCATGGTATCCACAACTGCCTCTTGATCAGTTTGATCATTAATTATGGGCGATGATCACCTCGTCTATCAATGATAATCTCCACGGACTACCTCAAATGATCACGCACAAGTCAATTTTATCATGTTGTTTTTTTAATAGCTAAGATTCCAGTACGTACCTTTCATTGAAGTCCACATGTACGTAACCAAATTTTCCATCAAAATTCTCTGAACATTTAGGTTAGCTAGATTCATCACTCCATCAGCCGGCTAGCTACGACCCTATCATCTTCATGAAATGAAAGATTCAGCTCACCCAACCCTCTATGTCAACTTCTGATCGCCCCTCTTTATACGCATATTGGCCGGAGCACTAATATAAGCATACAACAAATAGAATTTATTGTGAAAAAACAAAATAGCGGTAAATGAAAAGATACAATCACCCATTTTTCATCTAATAGTTGTCGATTAAATAACGCGAGGTAATCTTGTATTTATCACATCAGCCTCATGTTTCACTACGTATGTCATTGGCCTCTATTGTTAATTAATATTATCCCATTTGTTTATTTTGAAAGGGTGTTTATATGCCTTAACATAATTTATTGAATTTGAATATTTGTTAGCATATTAAATTTATTGCTAGCTTAATTAGGGACCTAATTTTTGTGTATCATATGTGTTGTACACTGTTCTTGGCGCTGGAATAGTTGTTAGTCGTTGTCCAGGAAGGTATAGCGGTTAGGACAAAGTTAGGATAAAGTAGTACTACATATAATACTTGCCCCCAAAAAAAAAAAACCGGTAAGAAAGTTGACTAGGGCTAGATTCTTCTTTAGTCTTGATCGGTTTTATTAATTATTATGTAGCACGAGGAACTCTAGCTGAGCTACCATGGTTCATTAAGTCCTTTCAAAAAAATCACGTCAAGTTGTTAAAGTCTACATATTCCATTGAGACATGACAAATGATCTTACCACAATACGTCGAATTGATTCAATAAAACGTCCAACATCTCATAATACACTATAGTTTATAAGAGAGTTGGAGAATAAACCTAGATGTTGTGCCACAAAATCTACAACAAATTGTACATAAAGTCAATATATATTATCACTTTGAAAACTTCTGCAGGTTAGTTAGTTTTTTTTTTTTAAAAAAAAAAAAGAATTCAGAAAAATCTCAATTATAACATTATTTG